ACAAGGGGGTTAACTCCCCAGAAATAAATATATTTTTCAGAGGGTAGTGACCATGTTACAAATGGCTAAATATCAGGGGAAGTTACAGTAGTATATTGCTTTTTGACAAATACACTGAAGTCCTGAGAAAAAATTCTGACTTTCAGAATCAGAATTATACAATTGAAACAAGCCTGAACCGGCAGTCCAGTTCAATATTTTTGAGGGTTTGCACAGCTCTGATAATCTCCTCACATTTCATTTTAGTTTTAAAAAGGACAAAAGGAAAATTTTACGATCGAGACAAACCTCGACCGGCAATCCAGCTCCTTCCTGTTGAAGGTTCGCACAGCCCTAGTCATTTTCTCACTCACCCATTTAGTCTTGATTGAGAATTTGCCCAAAGCCCCAGAGAAATGATATTCAGTCAAATATCAATATTCGGAATACTTACAGAACATCACAACATTAAATACAGTAATAAAAACCCACAAAAAACTTACGGAATGTTTTCTTTTCCTGAGTTTGTTTTACAGTTTCCTCTGGGAAATTTGTGTGGGTGTCTTGTGTGATTTTCCAATAGTTCAAAGTCTTGATTTTTTAATGTAGATGAGATATCATTTGAACTCGGTGCTGGAGGACTCTTGCCATGCTTGAAGAAAGGACTTTTCGAAAGACTGCAAACACAAATACATGAATTTCACAATCATTCTGAGAAATCGGATACTTCGTATGTATGAGCTTTTTAAAGGCACACTAAGCTTTTGGAGAAAAAAGAGAGAGAGAAAAAAAAATCATTACCTGAAGTGAATGAAAATCTTAGCTGCATAAGTTTATGGGAAGAAAACCTCTGAGTGCATATTGGTGTGAAACAGTATTTAAGCTCTGAAAAATGCTGTGAAAGAAACCTTCAATCAAGATGAAAGTCGGTTGTGAATTGTACTGTTTCATGAATGAGAAATAATTCATTGGGAGGACAAACAAGTTATTGACTTCTGACTCTAACCATGATTGAGAAAGAGTGATAAAAATAGTTTACTGATGAAGGATTCATTTAAAATGAGATACCTGTTAAGTTAGTAGGGTTCTTTGATACTTCAAGACGAATTCTGCTGAGAAATTTGAAATAAATTAGTATAAATAGAAGATCTCCCCTTCAGTAAATGAATTTAGAATGATAGCGTACCTTCTGTTCCTTGACCTAGTTTCTTCATATCTATTGGATGGCGCTTCGCCATTTACAAGGCTGATGATTTCATCAAGATCTCCATTTAGTCTGGCAAATTTTTTAGCATCTGCCAATCCTGAAATAATACATTAGTATAAATTGTTACAAAAAAACTATTGCTTTGTAAGTGCAAAATATCCAAATTGCAACTATTGACTGTTTTCTCCAATCGAGAATGCACAGAATTCTTAGACTTCCCTTTTTAAAATCCTGTTCAGTAATTCTCTAAATTTTTTAAGTAATGATTTTTTTTTTGGCTTCCTCCAAAACTATACATGATTTAGCAGATGATGTGTGCTGAATTTCATGCTGACTAAAACAGTCCTATTTATTTTCATAGCACCTTTTCATGGCTTTCCCCTACCCATATATGAAAGCTACCTGCTAATCACATGGTGCAGAAGTTTCTACACCCTTAGTTCAAATTTGAGGTACTCCACCCAAATAAAAATAGTGCAAAGATTGCATGCGACTACCAATATTCGTTCTAATTTTTCCAATTAATACGAAATTAACTTACAATTGAATCAAATATAATCAGGGGAACTCATCCGTAGTTCTAGACTTGTTATTAAAGGACAAAGTAGATGCATATATCATCCTTTTAACGATATCAGAGGTCAAATTGTTATTTTCATCCTTGACTTTACAAGAGCGAACTTTTCATATGATTCAACTCAACATTGGTCTTATTTACACAGAATTTAAAGTTGAAATTTATGGTGACTAGTATTCCAGTTTTACAGGATATCATGCATTTTATGAGAGTAAGTGATGCTGCCCTTACATTGCATCAAGAAGTCTGAGCAGCTCCAATTTATGATTAACGACAAATTTTTGCTCCTTGCAAAATTCCATGCCCCAAGATAGCCATCTCAATATATAAAAGATTCTTATAGATTGTGAATGGCTTTTAAACATTAGACTTAAAGTTTGAAAAAATAGTGCATATCGACGGTGTAAGTAGGCAATCACATAACTCGGTCTGCGACGTCGCAAACTTCCTGTCATTCTTTCTTTTTCAATCGGAAAACTACTTGACGGCACTTCTTTAAAACTGTCGTGATTTTTCTTCTCTTTGCGAGGAAAATTCTGCAAAAACTTCAGTGAATGATGTGAATTTGTTCTCCGATAAAAAAATGACATACCTAGAGGCGGAGATTTTCACACACTGCAAACGAGTTATGTAATTGCCGACTTACACCGTCGATATACTTTTTCATACCTTCTGCCCTCAGGAGATGTTTTGTACGAAATCCTTTTCGAAATAAACCTTCCTTGACCTAGAAGAAAAATATATAAAGAATTGTGAGAAAAACTTGGCTGATAATTAGAAACAGATTGCTATGTTCACAGGTATGAAATTTTCTTTCACTTGATTTAAAACTTGATTAAACTTTAGAGTCATGAATAGAGATTGAACGTGATGCTTCAACCTGCATTCTATTGTACTTGGGCTGCGGAAAATTGAAAGTTGGCTGTCAAGGAGCAAGGGTGAGGAAATTTCTTTGGATCACAACGATTTTGCAATCTCACAATGGACCACTAGACAAGGTACGAATTTCAGCATTCTGATACATGTGTCTTGACCAAAATTTCACGTAGAACACGATACGTACAACGAAAATTACCAAAATCAACGCCTTACGAAGATATTTAATGATTCTTGATGCGTGAATTCAAACCACCCGCTCATGAAAACTCAATGCTCTACGTGATTCTTATCCCGCGCTAAACGTTTATCATAACAGTCTCTGCGATATAAAAATCTGGCAACCTCAATCTTGACGCTTTGGCTCAGCTATAGCAAATCGCTTATAGTTTGAACTACACATGGTGGAAAATGAACATGGCTTGATTGAGAAGCTTGCTGAAACCGTTGTAGTGCGCGATTTGACTCACGTAGAGCTTTGAGTTTCTTGTGAGCGGGCAGTTCAAATTCCTCGTAACCAATGTAAAATAAAAACGTTAATATCTTCGTTAGGCGTAGATTTCAGTAATTTTCGTCGTGCGAATCGTGTTCTACGTTAAATTCTGGGTAAGAAACATGTATCAGATTGCTTAAATTCGTGCCCTGTCTAGTGGTCCATTAGTCTAATAAATTCCTCATCCTTTGAAAACTTCCTCACTCCACATAAGTTCACCAGTGCGCATTAAGTAAAAAAATTAAAGGAATCAGCTCACTTTTCTTTCCTTTTCATCAACTGCTCAAAAGTATGGAAGGAAAAAACGGTTCATCAAAAAATGCCCTCTCTCTCTCTAGGATTTCCTTGTCTTCTGCATTATCTTTATCGTTATCAATAACAACGCAAATGATCTCCTCATGTTTACATTCATAAATCTGAAGATCAAGAGTTTTTCGCTGATTTTATTTATTGTTGGGAGAAGACAAAAAATTTAAACCTATTTTAATTTTTAAATTTTTTTTTTTTGCATCTTCAAGCTAGAAAATATTGGGGATGCATGGAGAGGCATCCCCCCCTTTCCCTCGGAAAAAGGTGTTTCTTATAAAAGTAATTGGTCATGGTCTAAACTTCTTGGCAAAGAATGATTTTGCTAATTTTATCAGACATACCTTGGAGTCTCTCTGTGGCACTTTGTGTTTTGGGACAAGTCGAGATAGATCTCTTTTAAAGTTGTCGGCTTTGTTGCTCAGTTCTTTTCCTCGCCTTTCTCTCCGTCGACTCATGATATCTCCTTACAAAAAAATCAAATGAATACATCAAAAACAGTAAGCAAAGTTACTAAAAGAAGTGTCGTGCTTATAAAAGTAAAGATAAACCTGGAGAAAGAAGAAATTTAAATTTTAGTTCTCCTTTAAGAGAGCCAAAAACCTAGTAAGCTTCTGTTTCCAGAGCCTTAAATTCACAATAAAAAAGTAAACAAATGATGGGATCCCACGACTTCTGAGTGACTGAAAAACAGTCACTTTAAGACCAGTCAGATGCCTCAGTTATTGTATATGACTATCTAAAGCAGAGTAAGACATGGAGAAGAAACCTTATGACAGGAAAAGAAATGAAATAGCAATAAGCTGTACCATAAAAACAGGCTACAAACAGATTGAAAGAGATCATGATTATTTTTATGAATGGTGCTACATTCTTTCGATGAGTTTTACACTAGGTAACACCACCCTGTCTTCCGCCCATTCGCGAGTGAATGCTGACCAAATCCGATCTTTTGTTCTCATTTTTTAATCGGCATAAGATGTCATCACTTATTGTGACAAGTAAGTACCAAGTACTTAATCTTAGGGCAGAGAAGTTACTTCGGTGATATGTTCGCATGAGATGACTTACCAATTCAAAAAGGGCTTGAAGATGTAATGAATTAAAGTCAATTCTGGGAACATTATAAGTTCAGCACAACGTACAAACACCCGAAATGTCTCTGAAAATGACAACAAAAAAGATCATGACCATAAAGAAGAAAGCGACGCACACGTGGTGAATGATAAGCGAGTAGCGAGTTGTGTAAATGTGTAAATAAATAACAATAACACCACCCATGTGCGTTGGGGGGAGGGGGCTGCTTCGTGTTGCAACTTGCTGGCGGGAAGGAGGGGAAGGGAGTAATGTTTCTGTAATCTTTGATACTTAACCAACTTATTCTTGAAATCTGGAAAAAGTTTGCCCGTTTGTATTTTCTTTCAGTATATTTAACTAGAACATAAATTAGAATATTTCCAAGCTTAACATAGTTGCCTTCATCATGTAATTGCAGCTATTTCAGCTCCTTCTGCAGACCAAAGATTACAGAAGTATGTAAACAATCATGTTGTTTACATTATTCATTCTGTTATCAGTGTTATCAATAATTTGTCAATTCGTCGTCAAATACTCGGGCTATTGGCTATTCCTGTAAAAAAATCCAAGTTATTTTGCAGTTATTCGCATTTACTGATTTGAATCTGTGAAGTCGCTTATTAATTGAAAATGGAGAGCATACTTGCAATGAACGGTAGTTCAGACCCTCGTAGACCTGACAAACAAATAAGGTAACAATTCTTACTCCTCTAAGATTTGTGAAGAGTTTTGGAAAATATTAGTTTAGTTCATGCTTACAATGCCTATTTTGCATGTAGGAGAAGCGACTCATAGGTCTGATCGTTGAAATTTATGTTGCTAGCGAAACAAGTCATCAGATTGAAGGTATTACCCGGCACAGACTAGAGTACCTGTATAGGGAGAGTACCGACAGATCGGTTTATGGAGGGCTTAGGGCCCAAAAGTGCAGCCACCCTTCTAACCAACTTCTAACGCACAAAATTTCACTGCCAGTCTGCAGATTCCAATTCTAACGAAGATGGCCAAGAATGTACAGAAATGAGCGTTCTTCCACAAAATTGAGTAAATTTATGCAAAAGCTGAGTCAAACACGTGCTTTATAAACGACGGTTTGTAACAATAGTATCAGTAAGACGCTCTGGATAATTGAAATTCATAGGTTGGCTGCCCTTTTGGGCCCTAATTTCATTCGCGGAGGCATCGGTGAAGGCCTGATGGACTCTCGGAGTTTCAGATCTGTCGGTACTCTCCCTATACAGGTACTCTAGCACAGACTTCTCTTGTTTTATCTTGCCGATGAACTGCTAGCCATAAATAGTTTCAACAATCAAGCTGCAGGATGCTGTCGCTGTCCAACCATCACTGTATATTTTGTATTGACTAGGTCAAAAATACTATCAATTTTAAGCTGGACTTTTAAATTTATCTTGTCTTTTATCATTTAAGTAGTTATTCTGTTCTCTGAACTCTCTTTTGCTTGTTGATTCATATGTGAAGATTGATTGCATAGCGCTGAATAGAAATATTCGTTATCTTTACTTAATCATACAAGGCTATATTGGCATATATTGGGTAGAGCTGACCAAGTTGAACAACACCAAATATTTTGGATCAGTGTTTTTGCTTCTAAACGGTCCAAATCAGATAAAATTCCAGTGCTCCTTCAGTGTTATGCTTGTAGGAAGTGATGAATGTCCATGAGTACAAGGATGTACTTAGAATCTTTTGCAACAAACATTTCCCAAATGCAAAGAAATAGAAACAGGGTACTGTTCATCTCTTTTTCAATTCAGGAATCAATTACATACAAACACACATTGCAATGTTTTCTGAGACTACCTAATGAATTTTTAAATTTTGATCGTAATAATGTCATTTTAAACTCTTGCACAGGTACAACTGTCTTCGACTCGTTCATACTTTGTTTGATTACTTAATTGACTGTCATTTATTATTGACTTTACAGTTACAACATATCAAGAATCAGTTTGTAACAACTGAACCTTGGGGTGAATCACCGTACCCAAAGGGCCTAAAATCCTGCTGCAGAAATAGTCAGAGTTTTTTTATCCCACTGAAAGAGTAACATACAATGTGCCCATAGTAAATCTAGAGATAATTATAGAAATTATTTACTTACATCAGTTGATTGAAATTGACAGGTATAAACCGCCATCTCCATCCTCTCAGCCAGTTCCTGGAGAAGACTTGACTCCAGACTACATGAATCTTCTTGGCATGATCTGTAGCTTGTGTGCCATGATGTTGCGAGTAAGTATTTGACAATCTTATTGCTGCATTCTCTTGAGTTGTGAGCAGGAATTTTAAAGCACACCCATTGTTATGGTATGTAATTTGAAATTGTTGTAGTCTGCCGTCAGACATAATAATTTTTCACGGTGTCAAGTTTTTTTTCATTTTGGGAAATCCTGATTTTTCATGCTTTTTGACTGCTAAATCCTGATTTCATAATTTTTCCAAATCCTAATCAAATCCTTATTTTTTGCGGAGAAATATTAAAATTTCTGTATAAGCGTATGGGAAAGCATAAAAAAAATCCGATCGGACAGCCGACTTTCCTCAAATCCTGATTCTACAATCGATTTTTCCTCAAATCCTGATGCTTGACACCCTGTTTTTACTGCACTGAAACATGAGCATTCCTCATGGTAACGGTACTTGAAGCAACAGACAAATACTTGTATTAATTTTTTAATATAAATGTTTTACTACTTTTGCGCACGAGGTTAGACCTCTTGGCAAGTTTTTTTTTGTAGTGGCTTTAACTCAATTACTGTCTTATGTATTTTCTTTATTAATAAATGAAATCTGAAATCTATTCTTCAGGGAATCTTGCTCGTTGAAATTCTGGTCTAAGACCTTTTAAAAAACATGTCTCACACGATCAATGTTTCATGGCCATGGTTAGGCAACTTTCTTTAAGAATAAGGGAATTTGTTAAAGTGTAATAAATTTGGACTGCATTTTGCAATTTGGAACTATAAATTCCACAACCCTGGAAAAACACTTATGTTCATAGGGAAACTTATGGCACATAATACGTTGTTGTTAAACCAGGCCAAAATGTATAGTTCCAAATTGTAAAATGTAGTCTATTTGTGGCCCATTACAAACTCAATGGCATAACATGACTGATGCCACTTGAGCATACCTATTGACAGCTCTGCTGTTCTAAGGAAGAACGCCGTACGAACCTTCAGGCGTTGCCAAATTTTGATTGATAAAACACGAATTTCCTGGTAAACTTATGAACGTTTTTCCTCCGATTTTTCAGACAATTTTGCTCGCAATTTCACCTTAAGTTCCTGAAAATTTCAAGGAAAAATATTCATTACTTCCCTCAAAAATAAACATTTTATCGAAGGAAATTCGGCAACTCTCGAATGTTCATACGACGTTTTTCATTAGCAAGGCAGAGCTGATCTGTAAACCTCAAAATGCAGCGTTTCAAGTTCCTATCATGTTTTTTTTTTTTTAATTTTGAAAAGAAAAACAAGTTTCCACAAACAGATGGATACGTTTGTAATTGAGTGGGCAGTATAGTATAACTGCCAAATTCTCAGATCATGGTGCTTGTTAAGCTATCTAAGGTTCAGTTTAATTATTTAAGTTGCTGGTAATATCTTCCTGGAAATTCATTGCAGCTCAAATGGTGTTCATGGATGGCTTTGTACTGCTCTTGCATTAGCTTTGCAAACTCAAGAGCCAGTGATGATTCTAAACAAATCCTCAGTAGTTTCATGTAAGTCCACTTTAACCTTCCGTTAGTCATCATTAAACGTTACAAAAAGCTGTTATTTTCAAACTTTCGAAATACGCACATAAACTTTTCAAAGGATGAGAGTGGGTTAAAGCACCTCTTACATTGAAGACAGAGGTGTAGCGTTACAATAAATTACCAACCAGACAGAGGTAAGCTCTTTCACTACTGCGGCCGTGCGATCAAACCTTGACTTGGATGTAAAGACATCTCCAAGCTTCAAATCAATAAAATAGGAGGCTGCTCAGCACTAGTAAAGTGTCTACTAATTAGACCTGGATCAAGTGCTAAATGCCAGCCTGATTCATTTTATCTATTGTTCCTCACAATAGCATAAATCTGAAAGGGAAAATATGCTCTTAATGAGTTTCTCCCATCGTAACACCGATGACAATGGCGCAATGTCAACATCTTTGCCTCTAAAAATTTGTCTGAGTTTTTTGTACCAAGGTCCCTCTTTTCATGGATAGTCATACGTATGAATATAAAACTTTGTTGCACATTTGGAGTACTCGAATTTAAATGAGTCATTCAGTTTACAGAAATGTATTCACCCAGGAAATTAAGAAATATCTTTTCATAGTAAAGTTCTAATTTCACCCAAAAATTCGAAAAGCCATTAAGACTCTCAATCACGCAACAATAAATTTTAAAATTAGCGACACTATCTAACAGCTTACAGTTTTTACCGAATATAATGTTATTTTATTTCCCAGGTTGTCTGTCTTTTCGGTAGTCATGTGCTACTTAACCAATCCCCAACCAATGGTGCCTCCTTGGATGTCGGAATAACTACTTCAGAGACAACGACAGTTTTATACTCTATCCTTTTTGAAAACTCATTATTTATCATTCCTAATAATTTTACAAAACGCTTGGCTCTCATTCAACCATGACAGTACCTATGCAGCTTCCTGCTGTAATTTTTTTTTCCTTCATTGTAATCAGTGATTCAGAAGGTTAGCTTCTCTGAAGTTTGTAATACTCCTCTAGTCTTATTTTCGTATTGTGATCACTGTTTCTTTACCATCTCTTATGTTAATTTTCAATATCATTTTATCAGTATTTTTCCACAAATAGAAAAAAATATTTACAAAAAACTGTTTGAGTAAAAGAGGCCTCAATTGGAAACCAAAATGAAATTTTCATTGAAAAACTTCCAAACTCCATTTAAAAGTTGAATTTTACTTTATTCACTTTGATTAATTATACACTGTTTAATTTTTTGACTCGATTTACAACGAAATTTTAATTGGTTTACTCTTTGATCTCCGTTTATTTTAAAATTGATGTGCATGTAATTTTCTCATTCAGCAATGTGGCGTGTGGTGTTTCTTTTAAATAAAATTTCTAGTCATTTTTTACAAAAAAAAATGAAGTGTTTTTGTTTCTTTTTCCTGCATCTCTTGGATAAAGGATATGATTGACACATGGATGATGGATGAAGAATAATATTAGAGAATCTTAAGGGTAAAAAAATACTTAATATTACAGCAAATGAAATATGAAATGAAAAAAAAACAAACATTAGAGCAAATTAGTAATTTTAGTGGAGAATGTGCGATGCTTCATGGGTTTTAACACAAAGGAGCTGGCCACTGGTAATAGTCAAGTGAGGGATTTTGAGGACAAGGCGCACAAGTGCAGTTTTTATTAGTTCAAGGATTTTTTGTCAAAAGTTTCATAATTAAGTACATGGAGCCTTATGGCACAAAAGAAGTTTAAACTCACTTTTTGATGCTTTAAAGTTGGATTTTAGTTGTGAATTTGTCATAGAATATACTTGCAAGCAACCTAGTTTTAATTGAGCTCATTAATATCCTAATTTTTTCAAAAACTGCACTCATATACCTTGTCTTCCAAGTCTCTCAACTATGCGTGACTTGAAAATGAAGTATCAGTAGACAAGAGCGGAATATCATTTGATCTTAGGATCAAAAAATGAGATTTAGATGATTCAGCCTATTAAATGTACTACCCTTCCAGCAAATTAATTATTCTCTTTGGAAGAAACGGCGAGGGTATTTACACCCTTATTTACAAGACCTGAATCTTAAAAAATTTTTATTACTAAAATCTGAAAAATTTATTACCAGGTCTTTTGTTCCCAGTTTGACATTTTCACTCATATCAGCGAAAATGTTGTTGATTAAATTTTATTGTCACGCCTGTAGATAAGGATAAATAACCATTTCATTGAATTCACGATTAGCATAATGTTAGAACAATTTTCTAGTTACTGACAAGCAAAGAATACTATGACATGAGTTGATTTTATCACACGGGACAAGTGTAGTTAAAGATAAATTAAATTTACAATAGAAAAACAAATTTGAGTTTTACGGCTGTTTTTGTTGTTCCTGCACCATTTTCGCCTGAAGTTCATTAAGCTTCTGTTGTAGCGACTCTTGCTTCGTATCGAGAGAACTTATCGTATCTTCTAACCTCTTCCTAGAAACAGACCAATACAGATGGATAATTGCTTTCAAACTAGATGTATTACATTTCTAGATGAAATTTTAAAAAATTCCTATTGACAAAAAGTTTTTAAATTAAGTATTGTCAGTTTTCATAGATCATGCCTTCTCTAACCTTCCGACAAACAGGAATATATAAATACTTAGAACATCAAATGAAAGAGTCTGTCAAGTATTGCCCAGCACTAATTTATACTTAAGAATGTGTTGCAAATGCTTATAAATAATCTTTCTCACATATTACTTGAAATAAATTTTTTGAGCAGATTTAAAGACATATCAGGTGAAAAATTTGCATTTCGACTATAAGTTTGCCTAACTTCATAGTATCTAAATTAATCTACAACATGGGGTTTCCTTCAAGTACCACGACCTGGGCTATAAATTTAAAACTATTGCATTTACCTATCAAGCTACGTGTGATTGCATTTGAAAGATCAGCTTATTATCAATTGATTGAAAAAGATTTGGGATAATTTGGTCAAAAATTTTGTGAATTTTTAACATTTGAAACAAAAAAAAAATGGGACCTTCTATTAACCATTTTTATCATATTTTTTCTCACCACTGCATAGAGAGGAACTGAAAGTTCATTCTTGCTGTCTTCAAATGCATTGATTTTTTTTGTTGAAGTATGTAGTGTTTGTCAAATCTAACCACATAATGCATTTCTTGATTCTCTTATTCCATGTAACCAGCATTGTCTACCTGAATTCTTCAGGTGGAATGGTAGGGGAAAATTGCGATGCAGTCAAGATACTTCCCACGGAATGCACCTTTCATTTCATTCAGAGCTTTTAGGAATGTCATTCTGCATCTCATCGAGTAATGAAATACAAAATTCAGTTCTTTTTTTATTTCTTTAATTAAAGTGAAGAGAAGGAATATGTTTTAAAAAATTTTCATAATGGAATAGTCTTATGTGTAAAATTTTGATGAGGAATTATGCAAAGTAAAAATGGAATGCAGACCTTGCCTAGTGGCTTATTAAGCTCATGCAAAAGTGTGGAGTTGATAGTCAAATTGAATAAGTTTTCCTCATTACTTACAGTTCTCCTTGAATATAGGACATTCTTTTATCAACGGTTTGTCGTGCCTCAACAGGTTCCTGCTTCACCAGTATAGGTCCAATTAATTTAAACACTTCAGCATCATCCTTTATTAATTCTAACTCCTGTTGTGCAGAAAGATACAATAAAAAAAATCAAGAATCTGTCGTGTCATTTGAGCATACCTGATGGATATATGAATCAATAGGATTTTTTTATTCTACTATTGGACATAATGAAAAAATACATTTAAATTATCAATGTAAGAAAGGAAGACCCCAAGCTCAAGCTGTCAGTTTCCAGGGTTCTGTCCTAACTACAAACTTCCTCTGTTGGGGCAACAGACTAGAAGTAATTTGGAATCACTGTACAAAATGTCAGCCCCTGAGGACTTCATGTCAGCTCACAGAGGACTTTTCCTCAAGAGCTGATCGAAAATTTTGTTCATTTTTGGAGGAGTTTTAGTCACTGCTAAAAATTGACAAAATTTTTTAACGGCTTTAGGCAGGCCCGCCACATCCCATCTCGGGCCCTGGTACCAATTTTCTGGCCCGGGCCCCTAGCACAGGGGGGGGGGGGGGGGCCTCCCCCGGGAAATTTTTGAAATTTTAAATCTATTTGGACGCATTATGAAGCTCTTATGATGGAGATTTTCCATCAATTTCTGCAGAATAATTACGCCTTTTTGTTTACTTTCAGCACCAAAAACTTTCGAATTGTTGCATTTAAAACATCTATAAATTTTTTTTTGAGGGGGCAGATGATAATTTTCAATTCTATGGGGAGCCGGGCCCCCCTGGACTCCTCTTTTGTACGTCTATGGCAAGGGAGTTAAGCCATTGAAGTCGAGGATGCCCAGAAAGGAGCCTCGTAGCATCCGACAACGGAAGAAAATGAAACACAGTTACTAAAAATATCATTTTACATACATCTCAAAATCTTGAAAATCTCTAAAAAAGTGAGAAAAATTTTATAGTGCCCTAGCGTGTTTTTGAAACTTTACTCACCTTTTGCGGAATTTTTTGGGTAATTTTTTCACTTTTCCCTACGAGACAAGGGTTACACATGAATTCGTAGTGGTTTGTCACCTGCGTCACGGGCCCCTCCAGGGCCTGGGCCCGGTACCAAGGACCCAGTATCCCCCCCCTTGTGGCGGGCCTGGCTTTAGGGAAAAGTTCACTGTGATCAGGAGGTCGTAGAGGGCAGAAATTTGGTGCGGGAACTTCAAATTACTCCTTTTGTGACCTCCTGGCAAAAAAAGTTCCTGGGGAAAAAAACCTAGGAAATGGTGGAAATTTTTGGGTTTCCATCATAGTTCTACACAGTGACTTTTAATACTTTCCACCAAATTGGAGATTTTGAAACACAATTTTTACACTGTACGTATTGGGTACTTTAAATGCTCATTTGACTTGAAACTTGAGTGTTACCCAGTTTTTCCTCAATAGGCAGAATTTGAATACAAAATTAGTAATTCAGACATAGAATTACTGTAGACCTGTACTTTTAATACGTAATTACTGCTTTGAAAGAGCATAGGACCGATTTTATCTGGGTTCTTTACAATGACTTCTTTTTGAAATTATGAGGAATGAGGGTAAGGTCCAATTTAAAAGATCTCTTGACAGAGTTGCCGACTTATCAAATGGCGATTAAAATTTACCATAGTTCCCTCAGTTCCAAGTAAACTTGTGAAATTCAAAGCTATTACAATGAAAGTCGCAAAAAGATACCTTTTTGACAGCAGCATTTTCCTGCAACTGTCCCTCTAGTTTTCGCACCTGAGCAACTGTCTTGCTGTATTCTGTAACAAAGGTAAATATTCAGGAATCATTTTTCAAAATTCTTAAGGTCTATGATACTTAAAGATATTCCTTCTTAAGATTCAATAAATATTCTAGAGGAAAGCTTTTAAGAGAGTTAACGATTGCTTATCATCACTTACACCTAACATGGGCATGACAGATGATAACTGATGTAGGTGACCAATCACATGATTTCATTTCACCTGCAGTTTGTCATATCCAGTAAACAAACACCAAATTTCAATGATGAACCTGCAAATCACTGTATAATTGGGGTAATTTCTGTTTGTCGCATTCCAGTCGCGTGCGTCCTTACGAAAGTATCTGTACAGTGCGAGGGCAATACACTAGACTCAAATTTTTCTCAAACATCTGTTACACAGTCCTGACTGATCTATTTAATTGAATAAGGGGGATGGATTAAACTTATGCTCTGAAATCAATATATCAGGTCTCAAGACAGGAACATGTGGGAAATCGCAGTACTCACGTTTCTGAGAGGCTTTGAAATCGGTTAGAACTTGCTGAAGTTTCTGTTGCGTTTCTTCACTCATTTTCTAGGCAATTTAATAACCCTAACTACTGATTACTATTTATTAAATTAAATTTAACTTCTCTGCAGGTAGAAAATTTGTGTAAGAACGAGCACGGGCACGTCGTCGGAAAACAGCTAATAATAACAATAACATAACCTCAAAAAACACGTCAACGGTGGCACCGGTTGCAAAGAAGGATCGCGGGAAATTTAAAAAATTTGAGACGTCCCTTTCCTGAAGACAATCCGAGTCAGTAAATTCAGCCTGTCAGTCCATCAACTAGGGAAATCAGTCCCTTGGTGAAGGCTAGCGTAGCGAAGGGTCAGGGTGCTCGAGTTTTTCAGTGAATCTTAAGATTTAAAAGAAAAATGAAAAAGTGGAACAACGCGGGGAGTTAAAAAAGTATACTTCCCGTACCTAAGCTACACAGAGATTGTTTGACTGCCATAATAGGGGTTACTAAATTTACACATTTTTAAAAATTTTTTTGTAAGTCCTTTACAAGAGATGGACTATTAAGATAAAGTTCTACACATTTGAACTTTTTGGAATAGTTACAAATTCATTATCGACCAGACGAGAGAAGGAAAAAATAAGTTGTCAATTCACTGTTATTGCAAGGCCGAGACTTTATCCAACAAGTCTTGAGTCTTGCAATAGCGACATCTCATTTATACTTTCTTTTTACCGGTTGATAATGAGTTTAATTATCTCGAAACGTCTCAGGTTTTTCGTACTTGATTTTGTGTATTTATATTTTGCAGCAGCCTGACCCCGGTTTAGGTTGTTACTTTACTGTCTTTTTGACTGATTAAGATGTTCCTCATTTATTTGAACTATACAGCAGGTCCTTCGAATTTCAATTTATTTTCATTTTTTTTTATTCTCTAAAGAACAATCCATAATATTTCATGGAGAATATTCCTTCTTAAAATAGAGAAAAAAAGGTTCAAGCTTTAAAAACTAGGAGCCATAATACTTATTTGGGGCGCAAAAATTTGGATAGTGGGTGGGCATACATTCAATCGATGAGAACGAAATTTTCATCCATTTTTTAATAATACGAGGAAGAATTCTGTAGACTGACTGAAAGGATTGGATTTGAGTTTTGTAATTACAGCTTGAGCTTGTAGGATGAAGAGTGCCTCACTTACAGTGAAAAAAGATTTGTTTGACGGTCTTTCAAACTTTCATTACAGCGTGTGGATGTATTTCCTACTCTCATATAAGACTACCTTCTTTCATGAAATTCTATGAAGTTTTAATAATATCGAAGTGATGGATGTAGTAATCTTGGTACAAAGTTTAACAATCTCCATTAATTGTCAAAATCATAGAGAAATAATTAGAAGGCTACTGAATGCAGCACAAAAATTTATTTAAAAATAAAGACATTTCCTAAATAGGTATAAATAAAGTAAAAAATTTAGAAATCGTAGGCGAAGAAAACAAAGTACATATATAAATCTAGAACGAGAAAATAATGAGAACAATGTAAATTTAATTCTCCATGATGTGTGAACAGTCATTTATGGAGAACTTACACCTAAGGTATGCTCTGATGAGACAAGAAGGAACAATTTTATGGCAAATACCATAAGTGAGCGTACACCTGAAAACAAGATACTTAAAATGATCAGAAACAAGAGATTATGCTCTGTCTTTTGTAAATTATTGTATATATGATGATACTGGGTGAATAAAGATACAAGGGAAACAAGAGAGAAGCATGAGTGGCAGAAAATGTGTCATAAGTAATGAGAGATTGATTTTTGTTGTTACAAATGTTCCATTTTTATTTTTAGAGTAAATGGTTTGCCTGCGTAAGTATCTACGCAATTCGAACACAGCAAGAATGAGAAACAATGGGAGAAAAAATCAACGACAGACTTGTGCCGATGGCAGCGGTGCTAGTCAACAAAGATGAAACTGTAAAACGAGTTCCACCCGTCTTCTTATTTCTCCTTCTTCGCTCTTAAAAGCTTCCGAGAGACTGGAAAATTTAACAGTTTGAAAATACCTGAAATAACTATACTTCTTGAGGAAAAAAAAGGCGGAAAAAACTGAACTTTTTTTGTTATTACATTAATGGGTATAATAAAACTCACTTGAAGTGGGATAAAAAGGATAACAAGATATGTTTTGAAGAAGGATAGTTGTTCTTTGTAGAAATTATGTAAAATTGTGAAAAAAAAGAAGATAAGTACAAGAAAAAAAAAAACGCCGTTAGTTACTAAATTATTATCAAGTGAGAACTTAGAATAGTTGACTACATAAATTAGATTGATGTTGTTTTATAAAAATAAGAACATTGAGATAAAACCATTCACTTGCCTTTTATTCCAAAAAAAGCAAAATCTTTCACGTTTTTTCATGCTTTTTGATGAATATCTTAGATAAATTGAATGAGAGGGGGTTACTTAAAATTGAATTACTTATAAAAATTGTAATTCAAGTTCATATGGACGTATGTAGATTCCAAAAGCTAATTATCCACCCTTGTAATTTCCAACCACCAATCTTCAGTTGGAGTTGACATTTTTTTATCCAAAATTTTCTATGAGAACTCTTTTATGCTCTGACTTAAGAGTTTTCGTGGGCTGAGGTCCCCTTTACGGCGGACCATAGGTCTATCGTAATTCTTGTGGTAACTAATAGAAAGCAAATTGAAATATTTTATCGATAGAAGATAAGTAGTAATCATGGTTTGCAACAGGATATCTACGGGTATTTGACATGTGAGACAGTCAGAATTCAGTCCTAGTCAGAATTTCTACTTCTTAGAGTATTTTTTAATCATGGACTTAAATTCTGCCTCTCATTTTAAGACCTGGAAACTCAATAGACATGGATCAAATTTTTCAATATCCACTGAAATTAAACATAAAGATACCCTCTTTTAAAAATTAAAGCTAAAGACGGTCTTGGAACGTTGCTTTCAGTTATTTGCATGTACAGGTACACAAAATGAAAAATTATGCTCATATGTTTTCTACTAATTTGACTCAATACATAAATGAGAGGGGTATTTTGTTGTGAGAAGAATGCTATTCTCTAGTGCTGTTAAAATTCTAAACCTTTCACTAGCAGAGCTAGATTTACCGTGTTGACACATTAGGCAAGGGTCTACGGGCCTGCACTAAAAAGTTTTTTACCCTTCCCCTCAAAATGAATAGGTATCTTAATTTTTTTTTTGGACAAAGTGTTTTCCCCTTTTCTCATAGCTGGATAGTTAGGTATATAAGGAGCCCTCAACTCTTTTACCTCTCATGATGTATACCAAAAAACGCCTCAAATTGCGTTTAAAAGTGGTTACAATGTCAAATTTTAACGAGATAGGCTTCCTCTATTAGGAATTTTCTCCTAAGAAGGTGCATTTTAGGGGAGTATGTACCCTAGACTGCTTCTATGAGCCAAAAAATCCTAAGTCTAGCCCTCCTTGCCTGTATGTATATATACACTCTGCATTTACAGTGATTAAACTCATTTATATTTGAACTTGCTTCTTTCATCAATAAGGCAGTAGAAAACATATTAGAAATTTATAAGGAGAACTTGCACAAAAATATCACAGTAATTAAAATAAGGAAGGAAGGAGAGGATGAAAATTAGAACGGGCAAAATCAGGATAAAATTAAGACTGGCGGAATCCCTTGCTTGCTTGGAGTTGGCTTGATACTATCATTGTAAATTCAGTCAGCTTATTTTAAAAATGCAGGGGTAAAAAAACTTACAAACATTTGTGATCTTTATAGAAAGTACCAGTGTAACGTTAAACACCTAGGGTGTCAGAGATGATAATCAGTTTACAACTGATTAAGATATGCTATAACTATGTCTAATTAAATATTTTTTAAATTTACTTTGTAACAGAAACGGCAGAAGAAGCTGAAATCTAAATTTTTAGAAAATTTAGATTTATATTCATACACCTGATTGGTTAGCACAGCTTTCCCAAGGTGGGTTTCCATTTAACCATAATTTGAAATTAAGGGCTAAACTACTTTGAAACTCCAGCGCTAAAATTCAGCATGAAAGGTTTGGCAAAATGACTGATGGCTAACAATAAGAGTCTCTTCTCTCTCTGTGATGATTTTTTGTTGTCTTCTGTAATATATCGACTCAAACAGACTGAAAACAATCCATGGACCCAGAAATTCTTAAAAAACTCCAAACGGCATGGAATTATCTAAAGATAAGAAATAAGTTTGTACTTAATTGAAAGAGGCTGTTTTGAGGTTGCACCATTCACCAAAAGCACCCGATAATTGCAAAGGGAAATAAGTGCTTCACAGCATTAAAAAAGCAACACTTCCACGATAGCAAATAAAAAGCTTATCCACTCCTTCAGTACTAAGTTACGCGATGTTAAATTGACGGATTTAAACAATCCAAAGAATGCACAAAATCAAGCTCATCTCTTGGGTCCTCTTTCAGAATTTTTGTCCCCTGTGGCAACACTAAACTACTGATTTGTCCAACTCGATCAAATCCTGTACCATCAACACGAAATTCCGAAGCACCAGTCACATTCTCATGCAGCGGAAATTGGTTCATTGAATCAAAATTAAGCGTCTCATTTTGCCGTAACTCAAAGTTTACTAGTGACTTCATGAGATCAGTATCATCTGAAATCACATCCTGCATTGAACTCATGTTGTCATATACAGAATCATCTATAGGATAATTAACAAGAGAGCTCGAACATGGACCTGGCTCGGAAGCTGAGCCTGCGAACCTGTTCTCATCGTTCATGAGCTGAAAGTCACTGATGAGTTCGCTACGGGGAAAGCTGAAGTTGAGATCCAGACTAGTATCACACTTGTCGATGGGATAGTTTTGAATGATTTCTGACTTTTTCCCAATAGCAACGGAGAAATCGTTGATGAGGTCATCAACACTTGTGAAGCAATCGTTGAGTTCATTTTGCTGTTGGGTGCGCAAATTTTCAAGTCTTTGAGACATTATCTCATCAATATAGCTCGTTGAGGAGTGATTATTCTCTGGGAGAAGGAGATTTGATGCATTGAGGTCATTTTCACCTGGGGGAAAGAAAAGACTAATTAGTTGCAAAAAACATAGTGAACGAAGAAAACATTATGCATTTTTGCAAGCACTTTAAAGTTTGTTATGTATGCATGACTCACTCTGCAAAGAACTTTTCAGAGGGTTTTCAAGAATGCGGTAAATACTTATCTAGTTTACAACCCAAGAGTACATTTTTTCTTTACTGTGGGGATGATCTACTGAATATTAAAAGTTCTTCTGTGCACTCTGAAGGGACCTTTTAAATTTTTTATTCACTTACTTATTTGATTTGATTTATTTATCTGATACAATCATTTACATTTTTGATGGATGTACGTATGCAAGAGTTTGTGAATGAGGTGCTCATTTGTATACAACTTGAAAAAGTGGTTGAAAATATTTAAAATGAATATGTAATTGTTTCATTTGCCAAAATGAGTATGGATTTTGATTTAGGAGGAATTAGACAACTAGAGTGGTAGATGTTTTATAATTACTTAAACGAGGCAATTTCATAAATCAATTAGATGTATGTGAGCATTGCTATACTTAAATTATAATTGATTTCATCCTCAAAGTGATGGCAAATATAGAAACAGATTAGCTAGATTTCAGTGATTGAGGATAGTTTTTGTTCCGATATAGAATGCATTACTACTGTCATTTTCATAAAATAAGGTGGTTGGTAACACTAAGAAAATACCTTTGTCGAAAGTTTCAGTGGGCACAGTGGGTGGTAACTGAGTGGGGTTCTCTGAAGAGGGCCACAGATTAATATCTTCTTCATGTCGAGGCCGTTTTGAATCAGTGTTATTTTCTGTCAGCTTCTTACTCCCTTCCGAAAAAGATTTGAGCCAGTTGTTTTCATAATTGCTATTGACACAATATTTTCCGCACGGTACGCCCAAAACATGACTAGTTGTATCATCCCCAATCTGAAAAAATGAGAGCATAATTTTACTTCCTCATTTGATTTTTGAGAGTAAAATAGCAGAGAACAACATTTTTAACATTATTTAACTTTAATTACATTAACAAAAGAGCCAACGGAATGCTTGCACCTATTTATGCTTTAAAAAAAGATAATTTATGTTTAAAAGTGTTTTCTATTCAAATTAACAGGATGAGCAAAAAGTTCCCGGAAGCCTCTCCTGACTTTTGAACGTGTGAGTGTACCAAAAACAAAATTTTAGGGGAGCTTCTCAGTCAATCAGAGGTATTTTCTGACATACAAAATTTCTAGGAGACGCGCCTCCACAAGGGAGGAGGGCATGAATTTTTGCCCATCCTGTATAAGAAAATCTCAATCGTTTTTGGTTGAGCTGGTCAAAGATAGAACTTTTTCAAAGGTACAGCTAAATTTGAGTTGCAGAGCACTTTGATGGAAACTTAACACAGTACAATTTCTAGATTCGATCAAAATTTGATATAAACGCAGCATGGAGATTTTTAAGTAGACAACTTACTTCAATTTGATTGGTCGTCTCCGTGTGAGAATCCAGCTGTGCACAGCTAATGGGCGAGATAAGGGCATCAGCACTTGATTTAATTTGATTGAGCAATGCCTTCAGCTCCCTCAACAGAGCAAGAACATGATTTTCATTCTCCGATTTTACTTTGGCTGAGCGCAAAACGAGAAATTCCCATACAGAAAGGACGCTTGCTACGATTGGACCAGCCAACGATGCAACATCCGTTTTTGAACAGTCTTCTAGTGCCTGGTGGGAAAAAGAGAAAAATAAAGAAACGAAAACACATCATAGAAAATTATTTCATAAAATTTAGGATTGGTCCAGGGAAGGGTATTCTTTTTTTTATCCATTGCAGGGTTGCCACAGAATTTATAAAATGAATTTTCCTGATCAGGGACCTGATGACCTGTAGGAGGACCGAGTTTTGTGGCGGTTAGGCGTTGCAGAGCGCCGGAGGGCGCTGAGAGAGCGACTCTTATGTATGTAATTTTCCTGATACACTTTGGTGTAATTCCCTGACTATTTAAGATCTATGCCAGATGGTTAAAAAGTCATAATGGGCCTGTTGCAAACTTTTGCTAGAGCAAAAATAAGAGTTGTTTCTTGTAGATAATGCCTCAAAAATCACGATGAGCGCATCGGCAAAGTCTGAAATGCACTCATAACTTCACAATCTGCGTAAGAAATTTGCGTTTTTTTAAGCTTCCCGCTTCAAAAACGATACTACGGCATAGGTGAACATTTTGTTAGAGGAGTCGCTCCATCGTCGGCGATATTCATCATGGCCGACGCTTGCACGCAGTTCCGCGCGTAATTCAAGGAGAGTTCAAGGTCAATCAATTCGGGCGTGGAAAATATGAACGTTAACACACCGATTGTTATCTGGTCTAATCCAGTTCAGGTGTTATCTCGTCCCATCAAACGTGTTTTGGCGGATTGGCGTCGGCTATGATGATTATTGCCGACGATGGAACGACTCCTCTTACAAAATGTTCACCTGTGCCGTAGTATCGTTTTTGAAGCGGGAAGCTCAAAAAACCGCAAATTTCTTACGCAGATTGTGAAGTTATGAGTGCATTTCAGAGTTTGCCGATGCGCTCATCGTGATTTTTGAGGCATTATCTACAAGAAACAACTCTTAGTTTTGCTCTAGCAAAAGTTTGCAACAGGCCCATTTGAAATAGTTTTCAGGCAAAATTTGTTTTTCGAAACGTCAAATCCATTCTAGAAAGCTAATAAAGGTAACTTAGCAATTTTTCTGTGACACTCTTGGGACGTTCTTTGACAATTGCAGGTTTTCCCTGACTGAATAAAATTCCCTGATATTGCCCAGTTATCCTGATATTCTCTGACAATGGCGACCCTGCATTTGACATCAACATGGTCAAAAATGAAAGCAGCTTCCTGATATGCATAGTTCGTGCCATCCCTAGAATAAAAAATCAGACTTTTCGAAGAATTTCCAGACATCTTTTATGACCTTTTTTGTATATTTTTTCGAAACGCACTGTATTCTCTCCATATTGTAAATCCAAGTCAGCGATTCTTGGTTCTCTTTGACTAAAGGTTGCAATTTCCCTCAGAGATAAAATGCCTTTTTGAAGAGTCTAATTATTGTCAAATACTTTGATGATTCTAAACAGTAAGATTTTTAGCTGACAATTATTAGTAAACAGTAAAATTCAAGCATCTCTTGATAAGTACCCTCCAAAAAATCATGCACTTTCAAGGTCCTAAGAAATTTGTTCCAAATTTTCTATTATTTCTTTCACTCACTTTTAAAAAAGAAAACATTTTAGTTCATTTTCCTGAGAAAATTTTTATTTCTTGCGATTGAGTTAAGCATTTTCCGCATTAAACAATTGGATCGTGTTTAGCAAAAAGGAACCAGCGTGATTACAGTGTTGTAAAAATCATGTTCCTTCATAATTTTCCAAAAAATGTCTCAAAATAGTTAATAGCTTTTTTCTCCCACCAAAATATTGTTCACTTTGAAGGAAAATAATTTTGTAACTTTTATTACTTACTGCACATACGTTTTTTTTTTTTTTTTTTTTAAGAAAAGAAAAAGTTGCACAATTTTGAAAACGCTGTGATCGCGCTGGTTCCTTTTTACTAAATGCTATCCAATTGATATAAATATCTATATTTGGCACTGACCTTTTTCAAGAGAATTTTGCATTCTTCATAGGTTCTCCTCTTTTTACCTTTCTTCTTTCCTGTGCTGCATTTTGCTTTGGATCCGGCATCTTCAGATGTATTTTTTGAGTCTGAAAAATTTGAACAAATTTATGATTACATGAGTGCAATATTAATCATCATTTAAATTTTGCTGAACTGTAGAACCATTTGTGACTAACAATAAAAATTCTTGCCTAAAAAGTTAGGGAATTGTTCAAACTTGCTTCCTGAATGCTAAGTCAACTGCACGCTGCATTTTACCTCTGAGACCGTAGAATCGAGGAATTTTAATGCAGCACTCATCCGCGGTACTAACCCAAAAGTGGCTGCATTTCGCCGATGAAACTGCACAAATTTGTTAAAACTTGTGACGTTGCAGACTTCCTGAAATACTAGATTTTTTGAATGGTGACATACTCAACATAGTTCTTCGGAACCTCCCTGATTTTTTTTCCTGTGATAAGAATAATCTATAATAATTTTAAGCGATGGCGTTGGTTTGCTCTCCGATGATAAATTGAAATAGGAGTGTGGAGTTTGAAACACTGCAAACAAGATTTGCGTTCTTGCAGTTTTACCATCCATGTAAAATGTACTTGATGTGTACTTGTTGGATCAAAGCTTTGGATAAAATTTTTTTAATTGGTGTCTAAGAAATATATAATGGCTTAGAGGAGTGAAAGTTGCCAGATAAAGTCTTAAATTTGAATCCTGCTACAAATATTTTATGAATTAATGTGTCATGATTAAAAAATAAAGAAAAACATACACAAAAGCTAGAGATTTAGTGCATTTGAGAGTGGTCCAATACAATCATCTTTGATCAAATACCTCTCTGCGGCTCCAATTCAATATTGAGGGAAACTTTGGGGAGCAATTACACCGCTCAACATGGGTTTAGTCCTTTGAACGAAACCAATTTTTTTCGATTCCTAGGTGATATAGAAGTCCGAAAATGCCTATAATAACTTCAGGAAAATTGTCTGGTGTTCAGGGAGCCGCCATTTTAAATTTTTCAAAATTGAGAAAACTCACCATCAGTTTTCTGGAAATATCTCCTCAACGGTTAATGTTACGAAAAAAACAAAAAAAAACAGCCAAAAGAGCATAAAATTTCCTACCAAAATCATTCTCCTTTTCTTTCTCTAGCTGAATTTTTTGGTGGTAAAATTAACGTTTTCATCCAAAATTTGCTCAAAACAGGCACATTTTTGCTGATTTTTGGAGAAACTGGTTCTTATCTCCAGCCATGATTATCTGAGAAAAAAACTGTTAAGCTCATTGAAAAGAGCGTAAAATTTACTTTTAAAAAACATTTGTGAAAGGTTTCAAAGCTTGGCTTAATCCCGAGAAACAGCATTTTATTAGCTCTACCCTTAAAATGTGATTTTGTCAACCATTTCCCTTACAATCAAGAAAAAAAGAGAGAAAAACACCGTAAAAACGTGACCCGAACTGTGTAACAAGGTGGCAAAATAGTGCTGGGTCCACACTATTTTGTAGGGAAAACAACCCAATAAGTTCGGTGTTTTTCTCTCTTATTTTCTTGATTGTAAGGGAAATGGTCGACAAAATCACATTTTAAGGATAGAGCTAATAAATTGCTGTTTCTCGGGATTAAGCCAAGCTTTGTAACTTTTCACAAATGTTTTTTAAAAGTAAATTTTACACTCTTTTCAATGAGCTTGACAGTTTTTTTCTCAGATAATCGTGGCTGGAGATAAGAACCAGTTTCTCCAAAAATCAGCAAAAATGTGCCTGTTTTGAGCAAATTTTGGATGAAAACGTTAACTTTACGACCAAAAAATTCAGCTAGAAAAAGAAAAGGAGAGTAATTTTGGTAGGAAACTTTATGCTCTTTTGACTGGTTTTTTTTGTAACATTAACCGTTGAGGGGATATTTTCAAAAAACTGATCGTGAGTTTTTTCAATTTCGAAAAATTCAAAATGGCGGCGCCCTGAGCACCAGAAATTTTCCTGAAGTTATTATGAGCATTTTCCGACTTCTATATCACCTAGGAATAAAAAAAAATTGGTTTTGTTCAAAGGACAAACCAAAACCCAAAATTTGTGGTGGTGTTATTTGTAAATGTTAGTGTGTGCCGTTCCCATAGATGAACCTAATGGTAGACTAATCGAAGGTGCTTACCAGTCTTTTTTAGAGATTGCAAGATTTCATTCCACTTTTCCAAGTTCCTGTGCGTTGGATTTTTCTCAAAATGCATCGCCATTTTGGCTTGACCAAGATAAACTTTCTCGCAAGTTGGACATTTGAACTCGGCTGAAACGTTGCGTTTCTTGACTACATCTGAAAAGGAGAAATGCGGTATTGAGTATAACAGAGATTGAAAAGAATGATATCATACTGATGTGTATATTTGCGAAATTTTCTCGCGGGTTGTTGTGCAAACTACTATCGGTTGAGTAGTAAAATAACACTTCTCTCCACCGATTTCAACTAAGGATTAGACATGAGATGACAGGGGCTTAGTATTATAGACGTCATTTAAAATTGTACGGCATATTGTGCATTGGGAATACTACAGCAAAACTAACACTTTGCACAGTATTTTTGTGTTGTCTTTAGAGGATTAGACTGTAGAACATAAAACAGATAGGATGAAAGGTCTCTCCAAGATTCACATTGCTCCACTTCACCTGTCTTATCAAAATTCCCAGCTAAGCTGAAACTTCAATTACCAGCCAACAATGAGAGAGTGTATTGAATACCTGGCAGAAAAGCAAAAGTTTTCGGTTCTGGTTTTGGTTGAGAAGAAACGGATTGATAGGGCGTAGGGATTGTTTCATCTGCAATCTTATTTGTGGCCATATGTCGAGGAGGTCTGGACACTCGACCACTGCGAGTTGTGCGTGATAATGCCACTAGCATCTGTAGAATGATTGGAGAGGACAATTTAAGGTGACTTCGTAAAAAGATACCATCAAATTGATATTGAATTTGAAAAAAATTATCAGACATTTCAAAAAATAAATTAAGGAATTTTGGCAACTGAGATTATGAACATTTCTTGGAAAAACAGGGAATGATCCAATGCGAACACAAACTGTTGACAAAGCATTTGTTCCATTTGAAGCTAAAAAAGACAAGTTTACAGTTCTAGAATAGCTTTTATATTTGAGAGAGCCCAAAAAATGGTATTAGTTTAATTCAAGTTGCACAAGGAATTATTCGTTTGAATATGAAATTATTTATGTAAAAATAGTCCGCCATTCTTGAATCAATCAAGACAAGTTGTAACAAAGTATGCTTACTGGAAAGTAATTTTAGATTAAATTTGTAAATTAAGTTACTAAAAATTACCCTTGGAGGTTAAAAAAATTACAATATGTAGTTACTTATGCATCAGTAATCAGCTAGCCATAGTTGCATACCTTTTCTAAATTCTGGTCAGATTCGTCCACTTTCTTGTCAGCGCTGGATGGCACAGTTTTAGTTTCATTTTTGTTAGCTGTAGAGGACTTTTCATCATCTTTCAGTTTCGAACGTCGTCCTCTTTTTTTGACAAGAATTTTATTGGGTTCTAAGTCTTTTTTCTCTCCTTCGAAGGGAACTGGGTCAGCAGTCTTTTTCTTGCACAGGTCTTCTGGGTAAACCACTCTGAAATTCACGGTAAAACGTTACAAGAAATGAAAAAGTATACTTAATGCATTCAGCAGCGATTAGGGATTTTCAAAAAAATATTAGAAATACCTGATTTGACGAGAGAACTAATTTTCTCACCGGCAATCGTAAGTCAGCTTAAGTATGGGGAGTTCAGCAAAGCATGGCTTTTCACGTGTTAAGAACAACAGGTAGAAATTTCCAGGAAAAAAGCAGATTCCACAAACTTAGAAAGGGATCATTTACAATTCCCCCCTCTCCCCCCCAAAAGGTTCAGATTTGAGATTAAAAACAAAACTACACGGATAATTTTAAAAAAAAAGTTGAAAAGAAACCAGGATATTCTGTGCTTGGATCCCACTCCCTTCAGCCCCTACTTGACAATCAGCCTCTTGCAACACTTACTTGGGCCCATTAAGTATGCATCCTCTAACCGGAAATTGTAAGCAGAACGTCTTCATCACAGAACCGACTAGTGCTAGAAACACTACACTTCAAGAGGTAGACCTCCAGCTGCCGATTTTTACATCATTTTCTTAAAATACTTTTGCTAGTGTATTGTAACTTGAGGGCTCTTACCTGCAAATAATCCTAGTGTTGGTTTCAGGATCATACAATACATTTTTTGATGGTGCTTTGGTATCCAACATGATTTGCTTGTTTGAGAAGACTTGAGCAATCGCGTTAAGCTGTTCTTTGGTCAAGGATTGAGCGCTGAGAAAATAAATAATAGGAAATGAAAATATTGCTGAAATAGCTCTCTAATGAAAAATATTTAAGTCTACTAAAACTGTGAAAATGTGATTAAAGGAAGACAATTTTTGGGACTCATAATTGGACCGCATTAAACAGAAAGGAACCAAGCCACATCAGCTATTGCCAAATTTAATCGGGCAATTGAATTATTATCATGAAAATGGTTGTGCGGATTTTTGGGCAGATTTCAGAGAATTTTCTCCGTAGCACAAAGCAAATTCCTTAAAATTTTCAAAGGAATCTGCATAGACGTTCTCTCGTAAAAAATGAAATTTCCCTGTTAAATTTGGCAATAGCTGATGTGGCTTGGTTCCTTTCTGTTTGACGCGGTCCGATCATACTTTCGATAACCTTCGGCACAGAATAAAGAGAAGAGAGAAAAAACTCTAAACTAAAGCAAAACTGATCGAGTTCAACTACTTACTTGACAGTGACATCCAGCCTTTCATCACTCTCTTGGCTTGACTGCTTCCTGTGGAGACAGAAAAAAAATTGACTATTAGTGAAGCAGATTCTTAAAGATTTTTCAACTTAAATCGACTCATAATTGGGTTACCTAAAATATTTAGGAGGTAATTTGCACAGCGGGATAGATTACTTAAGTATTCCATTTAACCTTAGTCTTGCCTAGTCGATAAACACAATATTTAAAAAATCAGCCTGCAGGTGAGAAGATTAAGACTAAGTTATGGCCCTACTTCTTGGGGCCCATGAAATAGTTTTTCTAATGTTTACGGATTCAGGAAAAAACAGAGTTTCTTCCTTTGCAAATGAAAGTTTAGGCTTAAATCATACTTTCTAAATTGTACAGACATAGTAAATAATGTAAGTAGGTAAGTAAAGTAAGTAATGCAGTCAATTTTCTACGTACACTTCGTGAGGTGAACTATATTCCTCTATCAAATACTTGAAAATGGAGAAAAACATACTCACTTTGCACTGGCTGATCCAGGCTTGAATTTTTTTGGCTCTTTGAGTGCACTTTGAGAGTTTATAGAGGAACTTTTCGTCACACTTGAAGAATTATGAACAGCAGACATTTTTGAAACATTGGGTGAACAAACAGGCACTTCTGAAGACGGAGTGCTTTCAAGCTTTGAGCCTTTATCATTTTCACTGAAAAATTAAGAAAAAGAGAATTAAAAAAAATTAAGAAAAGGCTAGGGCCACTTATCTTGGCAATAGAACGATTAATAGTGTTCAATCCAGACACCGAAACCAAATTCAGGGTTATAACTTCACGAGTTTACCAAATGTAGCTTAACATTTTCATGTACTGCAATCCAAAGGCACCAATAGTCAAAGTAAACACGGTCGATCCTGCTATTTCCTACTTGAGAAAAGTCTTTAAGTACTTAGGTGTTACATGTATTTCAACCACCTCTAAGCCACTTTTTTGCTATAAGCGATGGACACAGCGGCTTACTTGCGAAGGGAACTATGTGAAATTTTTGACCCGTGCGGAGAGGAGGTGGGTTCCAAAAAACCCACTTTTCTAGAGTTCTATTGAACCAAATTTGAAAATCTATAGCGTGTTAAAGAGCTGAGAGTAGTGGTTTTTCAACGCTTTTCACTGATTTTCTTCACATACCTTACTTAGTTCAGGAGCTATTGAACAGGTAAACTTACTTTCTGGACGACCCTCGTAGTTAGTAATAAATCTGTACATCTGTTTTGTTTTAAATCACCTTTCAGTTGTTTATTTTAAAAGTTTTATCTCTTTGTTTAGGAGAAAATATACCTAAACTCACTATCTGAGCAGTAAGTACCATAAAGTTTACACATACTTGCTGCAAGAAACTCTTCAATTCAGATATATTACCTAATGCATGAGTCTTTGCACTCGTGTGCCCTCATGGTTTAAAAATGAATTTCAGCATAAAATAGAATACACTCTCCCTCTTACCAAGTGAAGGATGTATTGCCCAAAGTCTTATCAACAGCCTTGTCATGGACAGGAGAAGGAACTCGTATCAGGCTTGCTAGACTTTTCCGAACATCTGCTATTCCATCTCGTGGCCTCTTAGTTTCAACTTTCTTCTTTTTCACGCTTTTTACTAAGTCAGGTAAACTCGTCGCTCCACACATTTCTTCATAGTTTGGCTCTTTAAGAAAAATGGAATCGTAGACTGACTGTTCAGGTCTGACTAAATTGTTCTGAATTGGCTGCTGTTCTGCTGGAGTATTTGTAGAGACTGATTCTGGCAGTGATGGGGTAACTTCTTTGTTGTTAAGCTTGGCTCCATATTCCAGCAAAAATGACTCCGTACAGTCTGCTTGAAGAGCTGTGTTGCTGACTGTTAGGACTGGCTCCAGGGAGAATTTTTTTGATGTGTCTACAAACTGGGATTCAAGAAACGGTGTGCTACTACTGGTGCTGACAGCAGGAGAGTTTACAATACTTAAATTATAGTTTGTATTGAATAAGCCAGATTGAGTCGATAATTCTTGATGGGGTGGCACAGAGATGGTGCTAATATCGTCACTGCTCAGGATCAGTTTCTTTTTAGAGAGATCATTACTGTCAAATTGCAGCCCAAGTTGCGTTGCTTGCTCTGAGGTGATCTCAAAAGTCTGGGCCTGACTTTCGTTGAGAATTGCAACGATTTGTGGATTTGCACCAAGAGAGTCTTTGTCTGCAGTTTCTACGTTGGTGCAGTTGAGATTGTATGCAAAACTATCTGCTTGAATTGACTGGAGGTTAGTGATAATGCTAGGCTCGGTGCATGCAGCCGAGTTGAGAATGTTGGCATCGTTCTGAAGAATAAAAGACTGACCATTACTTCCCACCAAAATTACGCTTGTGTTCAAATCCATGATGCTTCACCGATGGGAGTCATGAAGGTGCATTGAGTTAATGGGTGACTATGTGCTGAACATCAAAGATGCACTGAATAGAAGTCTGAAGGATCCTGTTAGACTAGTCACTGAAGGAAATTTTCACTGAAAGGAACTGGATTATTTAAGCTTTTTTTAAGATAGGTAAATACAATTCAGAATTCACAATGATTTCACCAGATTTCATAGGTTAGGGCTGTTGTGAGCAACATGAAACCGTTGAATGATAACGGTAAATCATCAGTCAACGGCAGAGTTGCGCAATTTCATCCTGATGTTAGACGTTCTGACGACGTTGTTGTTGTTTGTGCTCTTTTCTCTTATCAATCTTGTGGTTTTTCTTTTCTCAGTATCTAATTCGTTTTATTCCTTTCTAATTATTAAGAATTTATCATCTGCAGTCTAGTTCAACTCCTGGATGATGGATGTCATTATTCAGAAGTTAAGCGCTCCGGATTTTTCCCCTGAAAATTGTAAGTCACTCGTTTAGCTTTATCAAAAATATCCTCCAACTCACAACCGCATACTGACACAAATTGCAGTTTCTGCACTACCATCCAGGCCGATCATTGAAATTTTGTGTTTGTCAGGCGGACATAGATGACATAGTATAAAAGGCGGAGTGTGATTGGTCGGCTATGTAATATCGCTGCTTTGTCGTGCCATGTCGGGTTGAACTCACGACAAGCTATCGCTACCTCTTAAGTTTCTGACAGTGTGTCGTCCATTCCACCCGACAAAGGCAAGACAAAGCAGCGATAAGACGTAGCTGACCAATCACGCCTCGTCATTTAACCCATGTCATCTATGTCCGCCTGACAAACACTAAATTTCAATAATCGGCCTGCAGGTAATCAATCAGGGTGATTCCTTACTTTAAGTCTTTGCACTGTTAGGTCTACAATTGGGCTGCGTTAAACAGGAAAGAACGAAGCCTCGTCATTTAGCGGCAAATTTTATTGGGCAATTTAATGTTCTACATGATGATAGTATCGTGAATTTTCGTGCACAATTCAGTGAATTTTCTCCACAGTACGAAGCAAATTCCTTCAAATTTTCAAAGAAATCTGCGCAAATGTTCTCCTGTTAAAAATTAAATTACCCTGTTAAGTTCTGCAATAGCCAATGTGGCTTGGTTCTGTTCTTTTAAACGCAGTCCAATTAATGTTTGTCAGACTGATTATAAAGGGCATCTCATCCAATACTATAATCCAGCATGAGCGCAGCTAAGTAAGTTGAATAGTATCTATTTCACCTTTGAATTTGGAAGTCATGCACCTGCATTTCTAACCATAGTTTTGTTACTTATCGACGGTGCAAGTCGGCAATCACATAACTCGGTTTGCGACATCGTAAACTTCCTGTCATACTTTATTTTTTAAATGGAAAACTACTCAACAGCAATTCTTTAAAACTGCCTTAATTTTTCTTCTCTGTGCGAAGAAAATTCTGCACGAACTTCAAGGAATAATGTCAATTTGTTCTCCTTTAAAAAAATGACATAGAGGCGGAGATTTTCAGACACCGCAAAGGAGTCATGTGATTGCCGACTTACACCGTCGTTATCTATCTTTTGAAACTAATTTGTATATTTTCTTGCCTAGATGTTCAAGAACTCACACAAAGATGTGTTGGAAGTCAAGAATTGGAACAGCAGAGACTCAGAATACAAGCCTTAGCTGAAGAAACAAACACACTGCTCAAGAAAAATGTGTACCGTCACTACATGCAGTTCATTGAAACTGCCAAAGAGATCTCTCGTATCCTTTTTTATTCTGATTGGTAGGCAGGTGCCTCATTACTTAGTATTTTTTTGCAATTAAAAATTTTATCCTTCCTTGAACTCCAAACCCTGTAAGTTGCACCTGTTATTTTTCTTCCTTCTTAATCAGTCTGAACCTTTAAGTATTCGGTCAGCCTCTCTCTGAGGAGTCAATAGTCCTCCAGGGATGAAAGGCAGTTCTGTGCCCATTCCTGAAGTGGCTGTTCAGATCGCCATTTGCCCTCTAGCCATACAAAAAACACCTAGAAATGATGAAATTTTTTTTTTTTTTTTTTTTTTATTGAACGATGACAATACTTCTCTACCCTGGAGGGGAGTGAGAAAGTAAAAGCCAAGTCAGCCTTTCCATATGCATCCACTGAATTTGTTTGAACCATATTTTCATGGGCATGTCACTCCATTCTACTTTGTCTTTGATGTAGCATGGATCATGAACTGACTTGTTGGTATGTCTGTCCTAGAACATATACCTGCTTTCTTTCTCAGGAACTCTCGAAAATACTTTTCAAATGGTATACCCTATTTTATATTTTCTTCTATAGAATCTTTGAACATATATTCCTTGATCAAAATTATTTATAGATCTTGAGGGAGAAATGTACCAACTTTGTCATCAATTAACAGAACAAAGAGCACTTCTGGCGGCAATGACTACTGCCAGTGTTCGAGGTGAAAAAGGTCTACAAAGTAATGGTATAGGGGATGAGTGTGATGGAAACAAAGAGGAAGAGAAGGAACAGAAAAGGCGACAACAGCTCATCGACATCGGAGAGGCTGTTGAAGGATGCGTAGTAAGCTCCAATTGATTATTTTTATTAGGCATAATCTCTAAGTTTTGGGGATCTTGGTAACTCTCTGAAGGCGATCGATCGTATGTGACCTGGGGACAAGATTTGCCACCATGTTGCACTGCTATGCAGTTTGTGCCTTTGAAGAGCAATAAGATAAGATAAGATATATTTATTTCAAAAGGTGAGGCATAAAAGAAAAAACAACTATAATTATTGTTACGTCCAAGTTAATGCAAGGAACTGATCCATAATGTGTAGAAGCATTAATAAATGAGGCAGCGTAGTAAGTGGTGGTCTTGTCTCTAGATCACATAGAATCACTTTAAGATAGAAGAGAGGAAATGAAAGCCTTTTACTGTTTATAATAGAAGGATTGTTGAGAAGGAAAAGATTATTACAGATGAGGCTTAAATAAAAGTGCAAACTCATGTAGTTAATGAAAAACTTTTTGTAAAGACGGCTGAAACAGGTGTTATTAAAGCAAATTTGTTAGGTACCTAATTCTTTGAAAAAAGGGGAGAAAACTCTTAACTATTAAATGCTAAAAAAATTTGAAAATTCATTAAAACTAGGAACATTAAGTAGTATATAATAATCAGTTGAGGGAGAGTATCTCAAATAAGCGTAGGGATGCAGGGAAAAATAAGGGATTTACGAAATAAGAACACTCGGTTCGGTGAGCAGATCATCAAATTTAATAAAATGCTTTATCAAAGCAGTATCTGAGTCAAACTTCAGAGAAAATAATCGCTTTTTCACGGCGATTTGAGCGGCTATACTCTTTCTTTCATATAGGTCATCCAAACTTTTTATAACCTCCTGAGCCGTCCGCTCCGGAGTTGCGAAATGCAGATGAGAATCTGCTAAATTTTCAAGCACGATAGCTTTAGCCAGCACATTTTTGGCCTGCCAGTCACTAGATTCACTATTTTCACTAGATGGTCCATCAATCACATCAATTAAATTTTTCTTCGTTAACAGCCCGCGAATTCGAAGTTTCCATATGCTGTACTTTTCACCATTAAATGGTTTAATGTTCTTTTTAGACTTAAGGTCCATATTAACACTTCAAAGTCACTTCACTTTCAAATAAATGCTTCAAAGGACCAAGTAAAAACGACCTGGGCCCATAACCCGTAGGGATGCAGGGAAAAATAAGGGATTTACGAAATAAGAACACTCGGTTCGGTGTATCGACTTTTTCTTATATTGCACCGGAGGTTATGAAAAAACTCAGCTGATGAGAATCGTATTAATTTTTGCTCTTACGGCATTGCCATATTTCAACCATCAATCCATATTTGCCATATGAAGCATGGCACAATAGAAAGCCGCAAATAAAATTTCTGAAAGTGTTTGGATCTACAGTCTATGTTCTTAATGACACTAGAAAAAGGAAATTTGATGAAAAATCCTTTAAAGGCATTTTAGTTGGTTATGAACCAAATGGGTATAAAGTGTGGGATGCGGAGAAGAAAATATTTGTCAGAGTTAGAAATGTAATTGTCGATGAAACAAATTACTTAGAATCCAGACCTGCGTTAAAGTGCTCTGTGGATACAGAGAGTGAGAAAATAACTGATGCATCTGACTGTACGTCAAAATCAGAACTGAGAACTCAAGAGGGAACTGATGCAACTGACTGTGTGTCAACATCAGAACTGAGAACTCAAGAAGGAACTGATGCATCTGACTGTAAGTCAAAATCAGACCTGCATAAAGAACTTGAGATAAAGAAAAGCGCAGAACAGGATTATAACTCTAGTAAAGACAAAAAGGGTGATGCGAGGATCTATGTAGAGATGGATAAAAACTGTGTTTTGAAGCCCCAAAATCGTGAGAATGAGTTTTTTGGGTCAAGGAGGAGTGATCTAAATGAACTTGATGAATTCATTTTACATGCACAATCCATTGACTGTGATGTACCCAAGACTTTTAATGAAGTTGAGAATAGAGCTGATAAAATTCAATGGCAACAGGCTATTAAAGAGGAGCTTGACTCTCTCGAATTCAACAAGACTTGGAGTCTTGTACCAAAGCCTGAGGATAAAAATATTGTTGATTGTAAATGGATTTTTACAATTAAGAAGGATGAATTTGGGAAACCTAAAAAACATAAAGCGCGGTTAGTTGCTCGTGGTTTCAGTCAAAAATATGCTGAAGACTATGATGAAACTTTTGCTCCTGTCACTCGAATAGCGAGTTTCAGAATTCTGTTGGCTTTTGCCAACCAATTTGATTTGCTAATTCATCAAATGGATGTAAAAACAGCTTTTCTAAATGGAACTTTGAGAGAGGAAATTTATATGAGAATTCCTGAGGGAGTTTTAAGTGATGGTAATCAAGTGTGCAAGCTCAATAAATCTTTATACGGTCTAAAACAAGCCGCTAGATGTTGGTTTGAGACTTTTGATGTGAAGCTCATTAAAGCAGGGTTTAAAACTTCACCTGCTGATCGGTGTGTTTATTTTTTGGACAAAGGAAGTGTTGATAAAAACATTTATGTTGTTTTGTACGTTGATGATGTCGTAATTATTTGCAAAGATATGGAAACAATGAATAATTTTAAACGATATTTGATGAGTGAATTTCGTATGGTGGACCTTGGAAATATTAGATTATTTCTGGGAATTAGAGTTGAGAGATGCGATGGGATTTTAACTTTGAGTCAATGTGCTTATATTGATACAGTTTTGAAGAAGTTTAATATGACTGATTGTAATGCCGTTGACACCCCACTTCCAAGTAAATTAGATTTTGTAGAACTTAATTCAGTTGAAGCGAACGAAGCACCCTCTCAGAACCTCATTGGGTGTTTGATGTACATAATGATATGCACAAGACCTGATTTGTGCGCTGCAATAAGTATTTTATGCAGATATACTAGCAAGAACAATAAGATCTTGTGGCAGTACTTGAAAAGGGTGTTACGATACTTAAAAGGCTCAAGGAATTTGAAATTGACCTATACAAAGAAACTTGATTTTACGGATATCTTGAGTGGTCACTGTGATTCTGATTGGGCAACAGATGAGAACGATAGAAAGAGTACGACAGGCTTCCTATTTCAATTATTTGAGAACTGTACCATTTGTTGGAATACCAAAAAGCAAAACTCTGTGGCTGCCTCATCCACCGAAGCAGAGTATATGGCGCTTTTTGAAGCTGTCAGGGAAGCTCTATGGTTGAAATCGTTTCTGAGTAGTGTTAATATGACTGCAATAACTCCCATTTCAATTTATGAAGACAACACCGGTTGTATAAGTATTGCGAAAAATCCTAGTAGCCACAAAAGATCAAAACATATAGATGTAAAGTATCATTTTTCTAGAGAACAGGTAGAAAAAGGGCTAATAAATGTGAAATATGTTCCAACAGGTGATCAGCTAGCCGATTTACTGACCAAGCCGTTATCCACCACAAAATTCAAGCGATTAAGACCAAGGCTGGGTCTTCAAAATTAGCAAATCAAAAATCAGCAAGTCAAAATTCAAGTGGACTCGTCAAATATTCAAAATTCTAAACCTGTGTCAAAATTCAAGTGGACTCGTCAAAATTCAAGTAGATTCGTCAAAATTCAAGTGAACTGGTCAAAATTCAAGTGGATTCAAAATTCAAAAATTGTTAAAAATTTAAGTCAAAATTTGTCATAATTCAAGTCAAAATTCTAATATTTGTTTGCAATTTTTTCGGTCTGGTGAGGTTTTTCTGGGTTTCCCTCATCCGTTGCAACAAATGTTGGACCTGCATGTTTTCCCAGTGAGCATTCATTAATAATGAAATTAATTTTTGAGGAGGCGAGTTGAAATATGGCAATGCCGTAAGAGCAAAAATTAATACGATTCTCATCAGCTGAGTTTTTTCATAACCTCCGGTGCAATATAAGAAAAAGTCGATACACCGAACCGAGTGTTCTTATTTCGTAAATCCCTTATTTTTCCCTGCATCCCTACGATAAGTGCTCCAATTATTGAATTCGTTGAACTTTTACAACAATATCGCTCAGGTTTAATGTGATCCATGTTGTTCCTCTGCCGCAGAGTTTAGTAGATATTCCTGGAAGACAGCTCATGTATGACGGCGACTTGCTGGAATTAGATCCAATAGACAATACTCCACTCCAACGAGTGCATGCGTATTTGCTCACCGACACCTTCATCATAGCATCATGGATTCTCAATAGGCGAAGTCCGACAAGGTATAAATATGAAGCTGGTTACGAACTAGGAAGTTTGGCCGTCGTGAATGTCCGTGATTTGAAAAATGCCTTCAAACTTTTGGTCTTTCCTGATACAAGGGTATTCCAGTGCAGCAATAGTCAAACAAAAGTAAGTTTCAAATATGGTTATCCATTCAGCACTTATTTTAATTGTTTCCATTCAGCTTGAATCATCCAAATAATCAGCAGACAATAGAAGTTTTAAATTTTAATAATTGTCATGGGAACGGAGTTCCCCATGATATTACAATCGTTCCGTTGCTTTCGCTATGGGATTCCCTATACCTCTGCGACCTTGAGCGTTTCGCCCAGTCTCCGATTTTTGGTTGATTTTCCGATGTATCAAAAACCGTTGTATTTTTTAGCCAATCATGTCTCTACGTCAAGTTGTGTTGATTTCTAAAATTCGCTTTCAGCGAGTTTTTTTCCACCTTGAGATGTCGTTTCTGACTGGTAAATCTGCGCAGAACCACGAAGTTCCGATTTTAGGCAAATTCTTTTTTTTGGGAGGTTCCGATTGGTTATTTTTCGCCATCAGTTTTCTGTTCGTTGGTGCAAAAGATCGCCTACCTCGTTGCTCTTGAGAAGCCGCCATTATCCCACCTCAAATTTTAAACATAGATATAAAGAAATAATAACCATCGTACAAGGTGGAAAATTGCTCTGGAGGACCCGTTACGGATATATGAGCCAAAATCAGAACTCGATTGATGGATTTAATCCATGAATACAGAAATATTGCCTCAGCTTACTGCCGCGATCGCAAATCCATACTGAGATGAACCTTGTGGCATATGACAGCATCGGTAAACAATGTCTCACAGAGTAATGCGCTTTAAACCGTTGTCTCTTATGACGCCAGTGGCCGAACTGCCGAAATCTCAAGGTCGTCCTTTGTGAAGCCCCGCTCAGCGTCCGAGATCACTTAACTAATCTCTTTTCTCCCTCCATTACCGAGTGGGGAGATGGCTCAGTCAGCTACGATATCGATCTGGCTATGAGTGCATGTCACTTTTTGTGCGAGCGGGGGTTCGAATCTCGCAGGGGACAGTTAATTTTTACTGGTTGTATTGAATGTTTTATACCAATCATCAAACAGTAATTAATACTTGGCAACTTAGGAAGCACATAGGTCCCTTATGATGCGTATTATTCAGGCATATGTGTAGAGAAAAAATATCATACGTAGGGTGTCTCAAAAGTACCGGGACTGGTTCTGTAACTTCAAAAGTAAGATAGATACAGACATGATTTTGCTTTCATTTTAAAGATCAACTCAATACCTATCGATTAAAACCAAGATCAGCTCAATCGGATAGAAATTGACCGAGTTATGACAATTTGAAATTAGTGAGGAAAGTTTACCCCTACGGTTTTTAGGAAGATTTTTCGCTTACCAGCATTCAAAAAGTTAATATTCGTATCCACTTTCCTCCGAATCTTCCATAACTTCCTTTTGCTTTTCAAAGTACCGTCCATCAAACCGGATGCACTTTTTCATGCGCTCTTGCCACTTATCCAACATTGTTTTCCTGAATTCTTCCTCTGGGATGGCGTTGAAAAAGTTTTGAATTGCATTCTGGATTTCGGTCTTCGATTCGAATCTTCGTCCACGAAGCTCCTTTTTAAGCGTAGGAAACATCCAAAAATCACATGGAGCCAAGTCAGGGCTATAAGGGGGATGAGGGATTGTTTCAACTCCATTTTTACTCATAAATTCACGTGTTAAGCTCGATGTGTGAGGCCGCGCATTGTCTTGATGGAGTATCCACGAAGCTTTCAAGTCCGACCGTTTCCGGGAAATGTGCATTCTCAACTGCTTTAGTACTTTGCAATAATACGCACTGTCAACTGTTGTGTTTGATGGTACAAATGTTGATAAATGACACCTCGAAAATAAAAAAACACAATAAGCATCACTTTATCGGCCGACTTTTCGATTTACGGCGATGAAGAATCTTCCTGAAAAACCGTAGGCGTAAACTTTCCTCGCTGATTTCAAATTGCCATAACTCGGTCAATTTTTATCCGATTGAGCTGATCTTGGTTTTAATCGATAGGTATTAAGTTGATCTTTAAAATGAAATCAAGATCATGTCTGTATCTATCTTACTTTCGAAGTTACAGAACAAGTCCCGGTGCTTTTGGGACACCTTATGTATACTTTACGCCGAATAAGCGAACCTGAAACTTAAATGCGTTAACTTCCGAAAACCATAAATAATCCAACGAAAATAAATAATTGGTACATAACAGCTTTCTTGTATGCAAAGAAAATAATTAAAAATGTTAAAAAAGAGATGTCAACACAAAATTACATAGCCCCTTCAATTCAGAAGATACTACAAACGAACTGTACCTTAACATTTTCATATCCCAGAAGCTAACGTTCCCATGACGAATATTGCTATCGCTAGCGATTGCAAAATCCAACTTGTTTGTCTTTACAATACGCAGTCATGATCAAGTGATAAATGAACTTTTTGCATGGTTTGTATTTCAATTATTCTGCTGATTTTTGCATTCCTTTTCTGTTGTATCATTAATTTAATGGTTTTTAAACTCTAGAAAGAATGGTTGGAGCAGTTTGAAGAGGCCAAAAAATTACTCGTCTCCAAGGAAAAAGTGAAAAGGGAAATTTCAGTCGAGCCAAAATCACCTGCTCGATCGGACGTTTTAGAAACTTCTATGAATCGTAAGTGTCATTATTTTTATTTTGTATCTACTTCTCTTTAATTTTTATTTGTTTTTCATTGAACATCTCAAAGGCTAAAACAACCTGAAAATTCGATGCTGGGCAATTATATCTTCCAATTTTGGAAACTAACGAGCAAGTGGAAATGAGCACTTATTTCTAATTGTAAAAATTTGCTCTCCTTGTTGAGTAACAGATTGGGTGTGGCATCAGAGGTAGCAAGGATTCAAAAACCCCTGTAGGAGTGCTACACCTCATTCACTCGACTGGACTGTTAATCCAATGCAAAAACTGTCAGGAACTAAGTATGTAATTTTGAAGAGCATCTGAGCACCTCAGTTTCTCGCATTAAATAATTTTTAGTGTAGAACATTATGGTCGGAACAAGTTGAATTGAATTTATTGATGGCCTAAATTTGTGTTTCCTCATATTCCTGCATATCCATGATGAAACTGCAGAAATGCATATCTTGCTTTGCAGTGTTGCAAAATTCCTGTCATTCTGTATTTTCTACATGGAAAACAACTAAATGTCAACTCTATGAAACTTTGATGATTCATCTTCTCCATGTGAAAAATTTTCTGAGAAAATTTCCAGCCATGATGTTGATTCGGCCTTCTCTTAAAAAACAAAATAGGACCGGACATTTTAGAACACCACAACTGAGAAACGCATTTTCGCAGTTTCACCATTGACGTGTTAGTATCATCATTGTTTTCTAGAATTTATTTTCTTACAACTGATGTCAAAAAGTTTTAAAGCTGAGGAACTCTCAACTTGGTTGAAATAATCTCATCAGACAGGGAAAAAGAAAAATGAAAATCAATGTGAATTTTATAATTACAATTTTATTTTACAGCTTTTGAAGAACCAGAGGAGATTGAAACCCCTGACGAAACTCCGGAATGGCTACTGGAGGTTGCGGAGGATCTAGATGTATTCATAGCACAGCGGCATTTTGAGCAAGCTTACAAGCTAATCGAAAAAAGCACTGAGTATTTAGAAAAAAATAAGCTTAGCAATGATCTTGTTGCTGAAGATCTAAAGCGCAAGCTGGATTTGCGTGTGAAAACTCTAACCAATGTCCTAACGAAAGAGTTGGAGGTTTCGCCAGACAAGAGTCAGCAAGGTGGACTGCGGGCTGCGCGGCGAGCAGTGCGACTCCTGAACAAGTTGGGCAAGTCAACTCAAGCATGTGACTTGATGTTAAAGCTCTGTTCCAGTCTTCTGAAAACTCAATTGAAGCGAGTGAAATTGGAAGGAGCAGCTGTTAAGTATGTTACACGGCTTGCCACAGTGTTTTTCTCAAACCTTGCGGAGATGGTGCAAGAATTCCAGTTCAAAGCGTTTCCAAACAGTCCCCAGTGTGCATCAGGTAAGATTATTCTCTTCTTTTATCAAATAATTTTGCTTTAAAATAATATGCAGAGTATGTGTTCATGTCTGAGTACAAAACGATGTATCTCAATTGCAGTGTTTCAATATTTAAATTTCTCCAAGAAATACAAGCCAATTTCAAGCTTTAAATTCATCTAGATATCCTGCTGACAGAGGAGAAAAATCGTGAAGGTTTCCGAGAAATTATTTTGACCATTTTTCCAAAGAAAAAATAAAGTATGACCGGAAGTTTGCAATGTCTGAGACAAAGATATGTGGTTCTGCACTTTGGCCATCAACCTTTAAGTAGAAAAGTCTCTAAAAGCTTTTCATGAACAATATTATAGAGATTTGTACTAAAATTGTTTTAAAACGGGCTTCAACAATCGGGAACAGTGGGACAGGCAGGGAAATCTTTTCTCTCCAAATGGTCAAGACCGCAGTCTGGCAGCAACACTAATTCGAACTCTGCAGTAGATATGTGGTATCATGCGAAATTGAAGGATAATCTTAGCTTTTCGACTATCCCAAATCACTGACGTTTCTGAATGTTTTGCTCATATTGATATACAAATCGCATATTTTCTGCGATACCGAGGTGAAAATTGAGGTATCTTCTGTGATCTTCATTAACCACTGAAAATTTGCTTATATGCTGCAATGTTTAGGTGTATTCCGCGTGATTTTCAATTATTTTACAAAACTGCCAGAAAATTTGTGTATTTCCTGCGAAATTGCGGTGATCACCACATAGTTTCTTTTTTTTTAATTCTTTTTTTTATTACAAAATATCGCATTTCCTGCATTACATAGATGGAAACGGCGTAATTTCGTTTCATTTAACAAATCTGTTCGAAATATCACGGATCTCTTGCGATATTGAGATGACATTTGCGTAACTTCTTACTTTGTCATACGTGGAAATCAAACAAGCAACTATTCGAACTCCGGAGTAGGTATGTGGTATCACGCGAAATTGAAGAAAAATCTTAGCTTTTTACCGATCACAAGTTCCTGGTGTTTATGAATGTTATATTCTTTTTCTTTCTTTTTTTTTTTTTGTAAGGTTAAAATTTACTTTGAGAAGAAGTAATTGAGTCTCAATGATAAAACTGTCTCCTTTATTCAGAGCTGCTTATTTTTTGTCAAAATTATCTCTCACAATATATATTGTTTAGATCTTCAAAATTTTCCCCACTTTCTTTAAATGAAACCATCGTCCTATGGCCTTATTTCTTTACAAAATTAAATTGAAATTTTTTTTCAGTTTTGATAATGTGGCTGAATGATGAAGTGAACATTCTGATGTCACACTTGATTAAGCAAGTGCTTGTGAAGCAGACTTCCCTGTCAACATTATCACAATGCGTCATTGCCTTGCACACGCAGTGCAGTCAAGTAAGTCTTAAACTCTTTTTTTCATCTCTAAACATGCTCAGATCATTTATTTTGAAAATGTATTTTAAAATTGTATGGAGTAATGGAGGGAATTGCCTATATTATGGTTATACGTTATGTTACATCCGTACGTCACATTATCCTGTCTATCTCTTCATGCATACGGAGCAAATACAATTAGCTGAGTTGTCAATTTCTTAGAGGTCTCTAAGGTTCGAACCATGTCAACAGTGTTGTAGGTATGTATCTGCATTATCCTATCTCCTATCTGTTTATAGAGAGTTTGACTGAACGTAGAGTTATTTGTTGTAACGTTGATGATCTACTTCCTCACAGCCTCAACTTGGAGTGCTGTTTTGGAACTTGAGAGTTTTTTTTCAGAGGAACGCAATGGCTTTATCAAGTTTCTCAAGAAATTTAACTGAAGAATAAGCACTTAAATTGCAATGCCCTGTTTCACGCAAGATTTGCATTAAGCCAGACCAGTTATAACGGAGTTTTAAAGTTTTACCCGGCCATAAAGTATTTTGTTAGTGTTAGTGAAATTTTTAGCAAGAAAAATTCTTGTTACATCTAACACTCCAGTTTTGACGGTCAGTTTTTATTGATTTCTGTGCTGTTATGTCAATTTCAGTGTTAAAATTTTAGTGTATGCATTCTTTTGAATAAAATATAAATTGATATCTTTTGTTGCAAAGAGACTCATCACTACTAATAACATAGAGTGACTTTGGAGCCATTCCTAAAATAAATAACATTAAAAATCTGAATTTTTGACGCCCCCCCTTTTCCCATTTCCTTTGAGGCATCCGTAACACAGGTCTGCGGCCTCCTTAAATTAAAGTAATAGCGGTGTTTGATCCTTTGTTTGTCAATTGCTTACTGATGTAGTTTATTCATGCTCATTTTTCTTCCTTCGTTTTAGTTGGATGGTCTAGGGGTGGACGTCAAATATCTAGTTGATGGTCAACTAAGGCCAGGTCTAACAAGAGCATTGACTGATACTCGAGATAAACTGATAGATGCTGTGAAACTGCGTTCGGGTGAGGATAAATGGCACCCAACAAATCTCAACACTAAGCAACAGAGAGACAAACTGCTCAGCGAATTCAGCAATTTGCCAGCACTCCAGTTCGAGTCTTATATTACCGGTAAGCTTGAAATTGTCTCATGATTGGTTTTTTGATAATAATATACATAACAAGTATCTAAATGTTCCTGACCTGAACTAGCCCAGAATTTGAACTGAAGTATTAACTCTCATTTGTTATATTTGAAGATTTGAAACCATTGATGAAAAATTCAATTTTAGGTCACAGCCATTTAATTTCAAGAATGTATTTTGTTTTTTTTTCACAACCTAACTACTAGGGAAAATCTTTCAAAATATTTTTACTTTTAAAGCCCTCTTATAGTAAGGGTTAATTTGTGAGAGGGTTCATTATTAACTGAATGACCGTTTGTTCTAGGAGACTTTTGGATCGGGCTCTCTGCCAACACTATCGCATTTGCCCGTCTCTACCTTTCATTGATTGAGGACTGTCTGTTGCTGATAACGCCTGACTTGACGCACACAATCGATCAGCTTCTCTACGATGTTTTCTCAGCTCAGTTGAAGCATGTTGGCAACTCGCTTAATAGTGAACGTTTTAGAAATGAGGTTTGTGGTTTTTCAAACTGAATTCGTTTTTATCTCAGAAGCTGCTTTGATTTAATAATGAAAGGGCTTTTGCAGTGAAATTTATTAAACATTCAAGCAGAAAACTCTATTAGAACTTTACCATAAATTTTTTCTCGTTTTATCACAATTTTCAATGTTTGAGTGAGTCTGAAGGTACTCAGTTAAGTTTGTTTTTGTGGTGCTTTCTTTTTTTTCTGCAGCTATGAGAAATGGGAAAATAATAGAACCTTAAAAAGCAAAACACATGGTTCAGGAGAACTCGCAGGACAATCTAGTTTACAGAATGTGTTTACACCGATGCATCTGCTTAACTTGTCGCATATTGATCAGTCATAAAAAGTGAACAAAATTTGCGTTTTTCAGAAAAACAAGGATGGTCTAAACCTGGGTGTGTAGTTGAGTTTCTCTGATGCATAATGGTATGCGGGCTGTAGAGCTATTCCTGACTTTGCAGACCATAGTCTGCAGTTAGGAAGTTCTTTCAGGTGCTCAGGGTGTCAGAGGGAAAAAGATTTGATAGTAACGAGAAATGACAGCCATTCAGGAACTTAAGAGGGTCTTGAAACAAGTTGTTGTGCATGAAAAATTTGGCATTGCCCTCTCAACAGAAGGAGATATCCGGAAGAATTAGGTAAAAAAAATCACTAAAGCGCACAAGGGAAAGAACTTTAAGCAATTTAGGACAGTAGATTATGTTGAAGTTGTCTAAGCTGTCCTCCAGTGGTTAACACGGAAAGAACTCCTGACTTTTTTGCAAAAAGGTTTGGTTCTAAGAAATTTTTCCCTTAAAATTTGGTCTTGAATGTATTATCCATTCAGCTCTATGTGTAGCGGATCTCTTTCTGTATTGGATAAATATTCCAGTTCTTTGAGATCCGGTACACAGAGAGAGAGACTACTGTATCATCTGATTGCGACTTTAGTTATACATTTTTTTTCTTATTTAAGTTGTGATTTTTGTTAGATTTAGTGAATAGAGATTTCATTGATATTTTACTTTAATTTCAGAGGCAATTCATCACAATCAATGGCAAATTCCTGGTTGATAAATTACTGAAGCACTGCAATGAGCTGTATGAGAAAAAAGTGGGTGTTCGATGCAAAAAGCTAGACCAACTTAAGATTGATTACTCCAGGTATCAAGTCACTATCACAAGTTACATTTAGTCAACTAAATATAAGTGCCTTAGAATCTCACCTCTAGAAGGTTTGTCTGTGATAATTGTATATTTTTATGGCTACTCTTTGCCTGTTTAGTACCTAGTGCCTTTTGATCTTAAAAGGCAGTATTATCTGCAGTGTGTTTTCTGATGCAGGAGCAAGTCAAATTTGAGCAATGAGACATTATTAACTCTCTATCACTTCATCAAACAACTGATAATATGTACACACTTCCAGTGGCGTGGCGTGCTTTGCGATATATCGATTGTTATGCCATTTAAACTTATGGAAAAGAATCGATAAACAGGGTGTTCGCAGGGAACACCTTAATAATCGATTCTTTACCATGGGTTTAAATGGCATAGCAATCGATAAATCGCAATTCACGCCACGCCACTGCCCACTTCAAATCATGAGTTTAAAAAAACAAAAATTGCCAACTAATATATAATGAGATCACTCAGAAATCTTTTTGTCAAAGATCAAAACATTTAAAGCCAGAGCTAAGCCAAGATTTGAGGCCAGCAAATGTATTTCTGTTTTAATAAAAAATCGAAGAATATCTGTATTCAAAGTACCCAGTTTCATTTCTAACCTGTAGAAGTAATCTTAGTCAATGCTGATGCGTTGTAAATATCAATCGTACCTTGTACGTTGACTGCCTTAAGTTGTTTAAAGTTGTTTTAAAATTTTGTACAAAGGTAATCAAACTGAAGAATTTTCTGGAAGGGTCTCAAATTGCACACGTTTCTAAAACTGTGAACGAATGAAATTTTCACAAGACTTTTCTGTCTGTGGTCAAAGAACTTAAGAATTAAAAAGTTAATAGTTAATTAGGATTCTTCCCCCAGAGGTGGAAAATCTTTATTTTATATTTGTATTTCTTTGCATAATTTATTTTTTGAGTCAATAACTGTTTTGCAACTTTATTTTATAGCTGCATCTCAGTCTGCTCTTAACCTAACAGAAGTTTTCAGTTTTTTTGAAACTTCAGATAATAAATGGTACATATATCCCTTCCTTTGCTAACTGGTAATTTTTCCTGTCAGTATTGGTAATTGAGTGTCCTTTGAAAACCTAAAAAATGGAAAGGCCTCTTGCTTAAAGGACTGTCGGTACATTTTTCAGCAATACTCAAGAATCTGTCTGTTCTGTACCAAATAGATCATTTTGTCAGTTCCTCTCTTAAATATCAGAAACTTGGATGAAACCTACCAATTAAAATTTGTTTTAATCCTTTTGCCTCAGTTATTTATCACACATTAAGCTCAAAGTAAGCTCCAAATCAGACAAAGTTGGTTTTGTCCCTGTACCTATTTTATCAAAAAATATTGTTTTTCTCAGTATAATCAAGAGGAAAAAGAAGGGCTATCCCGGATTTTCATCAGAGAATTTTTACATGAAAATCAGGAAAAATCCGAGAATTATTAGGGAATGTAAAAAATCGGATCATATTTTACAGTCCAGCGTTCTGATGTTGCCTTAATTTCTTTGTTATTTTTTTAAGTTTAACAGTCTTTGTAGAAAAGCAAATAATATGTTTTTGGAGATTACTTTTTTTGCTGTGTTGCTACTCTGAAGCAATCAAACGGTGCTATCATTTTTAGTAATAGGTAGCCGGTGAGATCCACATCTGAGCATATCTTAATCATCTCTTGGTGAGTTTATAAGAATACTGCTCTGATGGTTTTCTGTTCCTCATTTTCCATTGTAATTATCGTATTCAATTATCATCTATATTGTCATATACCCTGTAAATTATCATAATTTTATTAATTTTATCTATCAGACATGATTGCAATTATAATTTTTTCTATGTTATTTTAGTTATTTTTGTACTTTTTTTTGCATTTTAATAGTTTTCGAATATACATACTTAAATTATTTTAATGATTTCTTGCACCTCATCTTTTGTTACCATAGATTTTGTGCTACTATCAAGAGAGTATTGTTTCATAGGAAACTAAATATTTTTATGATCATCGCAGTAACATTTTCAGTGTACATATTTCCAAGCATTTTCGGAGCTAAAATGGGGGGCTTGGAGGACAAGTCGCATAAGTGCAGTTTTTGCTATTTCAAGAAATACTAGGTGGAAGTTTTAAAGTTACTGAGAGTCTTATGGTGGAAAGAAAATTCAAAATCACTTCCTGATGCCTCATAACTTGATTTTAGCAGTGAATTTCTCACAGGTTATAATTTAAGAAGTCCTACCTAGCTTTAGCCATCATCATTGATACCTCGATCTTTTCATAAATGAGAAAAAACTGCTCCTAAATGTGCCTTATCCTCCAAGCCTCACGAATTTTGTCACGTTCTCTTTGAATGCCAATTAAATTCTTTAAACCCTGTAACTTTAATGGTATGGAATTAGATCAAAGAAACAAATTAATTATTTACACAAGTTTGAATTTCACATAATGAATTTATTAACAAAAACTGTCTCTTTACAATTTACATAAAAACATAAAAAAAGTTTTTACAGTCCGTAAAAGTGTATATTTTTGTACAAAAATACCAATGGAACCTAAGAGCCGTTAAGTGCGAATGGTATTAAAAGGGCGAGGCTAACTGGTGATGTGCCCTCTAGGGGTCTAGGCACAAGCAGTTCTCTGCCATTGCTCTCCTGAACTACATTTCATGATAGGCGCTTGTAATTTCATTCCTTGCAAGATTCAGCTGTCAATAGGAACATATATACATATTATGTTTCTAAAATATACCTACATGCAAGAGTTCAGGGTTGCCAATATTTTTTAGATAAGGACACAAATAAAGAGAATAAGGCAAAAGGAGCCTCAGCCAGAAACAAATAAACACTTACCAAAACCTCTCAAGACAGCATTAAACTGTATACTCGTACACTCATGTGGGTATTATAAATAGATATGCTACATTTGGTTAATGATTATTCCTGATCATAAAGTATGTTCAGACCTATTTGCAGAAACGCAATCAAGAAAACGCGTCCTTCCTACCCAAGGCCTCTATCTTGGCAGTTACGTTCTTAAATTTGTGGCAGGGTTTGAGGATAGAATTACTTTGACCTCAAGCACCACAGGGCAATAAAAATATTGTAATAAAATTTCCAATTCGATTCAATCAATAGCAACAATTTTTCATCATAAAATTGTAAGGTTTTTACGTCCTTTAGTCAGTAAATGTCAATTTTAAAGGACCAATAAATGAAATCCATTCATCAGAAAGATAGGCAATTTTCAGCGCAAAGAGATATTGCGACTTATTTAAGTTTTATTGCAATTTCCAATAGGTCGAGACCCTTCAATTAGTCTACAGACATACACGACACTCCGAGGCAGTTGCGTGAATTTGATCATGTAGTCAAGTTGTAATTTTATCGTAACTTGGGAGTTGGGAGTGTCACTCGGGATCCCAGCCTCCCTACGAGCGAGAAGGCAAATTCATCCGATAAACGATTGGCCACATCTACGAAGGTCAAATCTAGATATCGATGGCCAAAGTGCGGAACCTTGTATCTCCATTGCGTTGCTTCAAAATGTCTGATCCTTTTTCATTTTTTCGAGGAGAAACAGCGTAACTTAATAGCTTGAAATTTGTGAAGAATATTCTATCAACATGGAAGAAGAAATCAAGGAAGTTTTCAAGAAATCACATCAACTACTTTTTCACAGAAAACATGATGTATGACAAGAAGAAGTGGCGAGGCGTGAATGATCGATTATCGATATTTCCCCATTTGAATCCGTGGTAATAAAGAATCGATTATAAAGGTGTTTGCTGCGATAGTTTACAATTGTTGATCAATCGATGTATCGCAAAGCACGTCACGCCACTGACAAGAAGACTGCAACCTCATAGACGGAGATACGTAGTTTCGCACTTTAGCCATCCTTACTCCCGAGTAGCACAGCGCAACGAAAATATTGAAATTAAATTGCAATTTGATTTCAATAAAATTGTAATTTTTCTACCATTAAATTGCAATATTTTACATCATCTAGTTGATTTATGCCGATTTTAAACAATCAGCAAAATCAGCTCCATGTGCCAGAAAGATAGGCAATATGCAATGCAATGAAAAATCGCAACTCATTTCCGTTTTATTGCAATAAGTTTAAATAAATGGGGCCCCTTCAAATAGGAGCTAGGCAACTTAAACAACACTCAGTGGAGTCGCAATATTTTCACAATGTAATTGCTACTCATTGCAATCTGTGCTACTTGGATGGTTTCGCACTCTAGCCATCCTAACTAGGCGGTAGGTATTCCACCAATTTCGGAAATCATGCGCGTGGTCCGAGACTAAGGATATTCAAAGTCCTGTTTTCTCGACGTCGATCTCCTTCCTAGGCTTCCTGCGATAGCTATCCTCCACTTCCTGGAGCGTCTTGTTCTGCGTCTCCGTGAGGACGAAGACCCCGAAGAGACCTGTGACGATGGACGCGGCGGCGCACAAGAGGAGCGTTCCCGTGACCTTGAACGTCTCCATGAAGAAGATGTAATACTTGAGGAAGACGAACATGGCCCAGGAGCCGACGAAGAAGACGGCGCCGCCCATGGCCCCGCGGACGTTGAGCGGGAAGACCTCGCCGCTCATCATCCAGGGGAGGTGGAGCACGCCGGCGCAGGAGACCATGACCGAGGCGAAAACGGCCAGGATCGGGACCCAGGTGTAGGGGCGCTGCCCGGGGGCCACCCCGTCGAAGAGGTACTCGTAGTAGGCGGCGACGAGGAGGGTGCCGCCCATCGAGAAGCCCGAGATGGCGGTCGCCAGTTTCCGCGGCACCTTCGTCGTGAAGAAGGAACCCACCGTCGAGGTCATCAGGAAGCGCCCGATTGCCAGACCCATGGACACCTGCCAAAAAAGTCGGAGCTTCATTAGTAAAACATCCCGAGTAGCACAGATTGCAATGAGGAGCAATGGACCACTAGACCAGGTACGAATTTAAGCATTCTGATACATGTTTCTTAACTAAAATTACACGTGGAACACGATTCGCGCGACGAAAATTACTGAAACCAACTCCTAACGGAGATATTAACATTTTTATTTCATATTGGTTACGAGGAATTTGAACTGTCCGCTCTCAAGAAACTCTAAGCTCTACGTGAGTCAAATCGCGCTCTACAACGGTTTCAGCAAGCTTCTCAATCGAGCGATGTTCATTTCCCACCATGTGTTTTTCAAACTATAAGTAATTTGCTATAGCTGAGCCAAAGTGTCAAGATGGAGGTTGCCAGATTTTTTTATCGCAGAGACGCTCATTATAAAGTTTAGCGCGCGATGTGAATCACGCAGAGCATTGAGTTTTCATGAGCGGGTGGTTTGAATTCACGCATCAAGAATCATTGAATATCTTCGTTAGGAGTTGATATCGGTAATTTTCGTTGTGCGCATCGTGTTCTACGTAAAATTTTGGTCAAGAAACATGTATCAGAATGCTGAAATCCGTACCTTGTCTAGTAGTCCATTACATAGTAAAAATATTGCAACTCCTCTGAGTGGTGTGTATGTTGCCTAGTTCCTATTTGAAGGGGCCCTATTTATTGAAACTTGATATAACTTGAAATAAGTTGCAATGCTTCATTGCATTGCATATTGCCTATCTTTCTGACACATATCAAAAGACATAGGAGAAAAAACGGGAAACAAGGCAAAAAAAAAAAAAAAAAAAAAAAAAAAAAAAAAAAAAAAAATAACCTATTTCTGACACATGGAGCTCATTTTGTTGATTGTTTAAAATCGGCATGAATCGACTAAACGATGTAAAAATCTTGCAATTTAATGGTAAAAAATTACAATTTTACTGAAATCAAACTGCAATTTCATTTCAATATTTTCGTTGCACTATGCTTCATGGGATCAAGAACATCTCTGCCGTGATAGGTAGCGAAGAGAGCAGTGTGTGTTAAAAATTTCTCAGAAAATTATAACGTTCCGAAAAAATTTCCGAGAATGTTCTGAAAATAAAATCTTTTCACCCATTTTTGAAAATAATCGCTAGAGTGTTGAAATGTTCCAACAAAATTAGCAGGATACTACAACACGATAAGACCGTAATACACCAAATTTAGATCCCGGATTTTTCAAAACCTTTTTTTTTTTAAATTCATTCATTTTTTTTTTTTTTTGATAAGTGTAGGTATCTGATGATGGGGTTCATTTACCTTAAATGAGTCGTAATCTGTGCGAAGTTGGTCGATGAAGTCCACTGTGTAGTAGAGAAGATCATACATTCCCGTGGCTGCCTGTAGGAAGTGGAATAGTGCGATGATAAGGAACGGTTTCCACACAGTCGGTTGTAGGAACGTATGCCATTCCACTCGTTGATTCGATTCCTCTTGACAAGTCAGGCGCAGAACCTTTCAACAGAAACAAAGTGGTTCAGTACCTGGATTTAGCAAAAAAAGATCAGTTAAAAATTTTCTCCAAATCCACCTTCATTGTCCAGTGACCAGGAAACATCCTGCTTGCCATGATATTCCGCATATAACTATTAGTTGCGCCCTTCACTGTACTCACATTCAAGTTAAAACCAAAAAGAGGTATATTATTGTTAATAAGAAAAATGAATTAGTGTCTAACTAAAACCGAAAATTGCTATAGTAAATTGTTAACTTTATTTAAAATTTTTGAATAATCATCTTGGGTGCTCTACAGGGTCGGACTGGCTCGCATCTAAGGGCGTAGACCCTTGGCTGCTTGAAGGGGCGTAATGTGACATTTCTGCAGGTAGGGCATCCCCTACGTGGAGAGGGGTTCAGAAAATTTTGGCAAAGCAGCACAAGTTTACGCTATTTTCAGGTTCAAAGTTTATTAATTGTACAGAGTGAAAATTGCAAAATTGAACGTATCGAAGTAACCGACAGACTTCTGAAATTAAAGAAAACATAACAAATTAAAGCCACTAGACGCATTCAAGCACCATTATTTCCAAAAGGACCGAGCCAGTGCTGCGGTTTACATGAGATTAAGACGTGGGTTTGCAAATTCACCCTAAAAGAGAATCACACAAGAACCTGAAAAAAGGAGAAAGAACGAGTATCAACACAGCCGAAGGTAGGAGAGATGTGTTCGGGCCTCTTTTTTAACTTTTCTCCCAAATCTGAGCGACACCTCATTGACAGCATATAGCAGAGTATTAAGAGCTCACGCTTCGCGTCATCGCGCCTTCAATTTTTCAGATGCAGCACGGACGTTCATCAAGTACGAATAGTTGTATCTCCGCGCCGTCGTAAATGGGCATTCTTTCCGCCGCTTTATTTCCATATTATATTTGTTTGCGTCTGTCTTATTCGTAATGGTGCTTCAAACACTACGTGAATAACACAGCCGAAGGTAGAATAGAGGTGTTCGGGCCTCTTTTTTAACTCTTCTTCCGAATCCGAGCGACACCTCATTGACAGCATATAGCAGAGCATTAAGAGCTCACGCTTCGCGTCATCGCGCCTTCAATTTTTCAGAAGCAGCACGGACGTTCATCAAGTACGAATAGTTATATCTTCGCGCCGTCATGAACGCGCATCCTTTCCCTAGCTCTATTTCCATATTAATTTCGTTAGCGTTTCTCTTATTCGTTATGGTGCTTCAAACTAGTAGCATAGAACAGAGCATTGCGAGTTCACGACTCACGCCATCGCGTCTTACATTTTTCATATGCAATGTGGACATCCGTCTTGCGCGAATCGTCGTATCGCATTTACACTTTAGATGCCTCTTATTTTTTAATTTTGAGATAAATGAAGGTTAAGTTTGTCCGAGATATGCTATGATATGTCCAAATCAATAGCTATTTTGAAAAGGAAGAAATGTGTTTAAAGGTCTCTCAAAAGGTCTATAAAGGGTGCGTATGTCTAAAAATCGAACCGACCATCGCTTCTAAGGGATGAGTTACACATAGTGAATGAAGGAGGGGGATGATAAAGCGCCTGTATGTCGACAAAAAGGTGAAAATTTCACAGAAAAGTATTTACACCTCAAAAAGTAGTTCTTGGACCTCTGTTCACCTTTATCATGCGTGAGAGCACCTTTATTTACTCCTAACTCTCTCCTCTTCCGTTCATTTAAGAAACTTTCCGCATATATTCTCGGTCGTAATTTTTGTTCTCCTCTTATTTTACTATCTGCCAGAGGGGCGCGTTTTCGGCGCGCGAAGGGGGCGTATCTGCCAACGGCATTTTTGCCTAATGGCCAGTCCGAGCCTGGTGCTCTAGTTTATCACAGAAAAAGAAGGTTTGGTCGTATGAACCAAATTTCGGTGTTCCATATCATCCCAACTAATTCGGTTTTCCAAACCAAACTTTCGGTTCGTGTAACCGAAGTCCAATGGTAAAGTGAACTGACGAAGAAAGTTCGGTCATATGAACCGAATGTTCAGTTACACGAAGCTCTCCGAAAATTTCACTAAATTTTCTTTGTGCTGCCGATAAAATTCAGTGAAGTTTTTGAACAGACTCAACCAACAATTTCTCCGCGCAAAATAAAACGGCGGCGGACATTTTGAAACGTCGCACGGCGCTTGTGATACTTTGGCCGGAAGGTGACGAAATGTCGTGTTCATGCAAGCTAACATGAATACCTGCAGATAAGAGTTGTGATGAAGAAGGCGAGAGCGCCTTCAATTTCGCGTGCAAGCAACACGGACATCTCTTGAAAACGAATAGTTGCAGTCAAGTCAGGCGTTGTGATTTTACACTCACAATCAGCGGTGAAAACTTCGCATGGCGCTTGTGAGACTTTGGTCGGAAGGTGATGATTTGTCTTAGAATTGTTTTGTCGTTTTTCCAAATTTGGATTTTTAAACTAAGCTCTCTCTTTAGGCCTTGTCTCCACGGGACGTTTTCATGGGATTTTTCCCAAGTTCGAATCGCAGGAATGAAACTTCTGGGATTTTCCCCAGTTACCGTCTCCACGGGACGGGGCTCTTTGCAGTCCTGCGACTAGTTTGCGCGGGAAGATAAATTAGTTAAAGTCGAGTATTTGACCGGGATTAAAATAATAATTGCACTCAATTGACAATTAGACACATTTTTTAACTAAACAAACATGAACAATGTAGTAATGAATAAAATATCGCACAATTCGTTTTCACTTCTTCTTCTTCTCTCAGTGGGTCTAGGGGTACAAGTACCATACTTGGTACTGGGAAAAATATTGATTAACTCAATATTTTTCCCAACTTCGTAAGTGGGATTTTTCCCTGGCACAAATCTCGCGAAACGGCTCGTGGAGACAAGGCCTTTGAATAGAGGAAGAAATTGAAGTACCTTGATCTCTTCAGCGATGGCGGTTTCGGTGCGACCGAGTCGCTGGAGCTCGGCGACGGCCCGATCGCTGCGACCCTTCTTGACGAGCCACGGCGGAGACTCGGGGGTGAACCACTCGTAGAGGAAGAGCAGGAGGCAGAGCAGAGCGTACAGAGCCGAACCAAGGTTCCAGGGCAACGCCGCGCCCACCACGTATGTGAACAGGATCCCTGCGGTGAATGTTGAGTATGAGAGCGACATGCACAGACTCCGCTGTCGCTTCGTACATACCTCAGCGATGTACACGATCCCTGCCACTTCGAACCCTGAAACAGAAGTTCATTTTTATTTTGTTTTTATTTTTTTACATTGATGCACACTGGGAAAAAAGTCGCTTGGATCTAGAGCCCAGACGCTTAACAATACTGACGCAAGATAAAATACTCTTGACTCAATCAGATTTGGACTGCATTTTGCAATTTGGACCTATAAATTCCGGCCCGGTTTAAAAACAACGTATTTGCCATTAGTTTCCCTATGCACATAAGTGTTTTTTCAGATGAGCCAGAATTTATAGGTCCAAATTGCAAAATGCAGTCCATTTTTCCTTGAGTCGAAGAGCCGAGCCTCTTGATTTAGGTGGATTTCCTCTTGATTCAAGCAAAAAGTCCGATTGAATCAAGAGTATTTTTTCTTGTCAATGTTTTTAAGAGTCTGGACTCTAGATCCAAGCGACTTTTTTTCCAGTGCAGGTGAAAGGGTGGCGACAAGGGGTTTTGGATGAGACGAAGGAGTGCCAACTCCCTGATTACTTGTGGGAGGACCGAGTTTCGTGGCGATTAGGCTTCGCAGAGCGCCAGAGAGCGCTGTGAGAGCGACTCTTATGCATGTATATTGATACAAGAGAAATCGAAAAAAAAAAATCGACTGCGGTGCAGGTCGAGATGATACAAATAGGAATATGAATTTGAACGGTACAAATAAAAAAGTATGGTGACATGAATTTCAGTCTAGCACTGAAACTGCTAATTTAGTACTAAACTTCTAGGGATTCATTTAGGCTCTAGAAAGCCTTTTCAATCAAAAAGTTTCCGAGCAAGGGAAAAAACGCTGAGAAATCAAGAGTTTTTGAGAAAAAACTTAATTTCAATAGGTTGTTTGTTAAATACTTGAATACTCTAATTTTTAATATTAGATTCCGAAATTTGTAACGAAATTTTTATGTTTCGAGAGAATGATCTGTGGAGGATTCAGACGAAACAGTCTGAAGGTAAAGGAAGGGCCGGATTTACCTTCTTGCCGTCCCCTTTTCATTTGTTTTGCAACATCAATAAAAACCATCGAGTGAACGTGCCGGAGGGGGAAGGGTGCATAAGACGCGTTCACTCGTGTTAGACACATTCTTTGCGAAAGCCCTGTCAACACTACAAGGAAAAGTTCACGGAACTTTGCGCGACGAAAGTTCAGTTCCGTAAACCTATCTCTGAGTGGACAAGGCCTTTCATTTGTAAGAAATGAACTAAAAAATTATGAAAGAACAAACATAAATGTGGTTTAATCATTTTAACTTCCGCCTCCGCGCCGCGCTGACCGCACTGTGTTTGGCGCAATGCGTGAAGTATTCCTGAAGTCTTGTAGGAGCTATGCGTGTCACACCGACCGCTGCTGACCGCACTGTGATAGACGCAATGCGTGAAGCATTCATGCAGTCTTGTAGGCGCTATGCGTTTCACGCCGACCGCTGTTGACCGCACTGTGTATGACGCAATGTGTGAAGTATTCATGCTTTCTTGTAGGCGCTAATATGTGTTACATGCCGACCGCCGTGCCGAGGGCTTCTCCTTTTCAACTCAAGTCCTCGTCATCATTGCTCTCTGCGCCGCGCCGCTCCAGGGCAAATTGCGTGTTTGGTTTCTCACCTAACTCGACTAATTAAAGGTGCGCTATCTATTGTATTACCGAAAGACGACAAAATTAGAAATTACTATACTCTCAGGAAATGAGATATTTTGCCGCCTTTTCTCGTTTGTAAGTTTTTTTCTGAATTCAATTTTCTTTAATATCTACATTTATAAAAATCATAAAATTTTTCTGCCCCCTAAATTTGCCGCCATGGGCCGCGGCGCATATGGCCAATTGGCCACCCCCTAAATCCGGCCCTGGGTAAAGGACAAGTAGAATGAGATGACTACACACCACATCGAAGGCTAAAGTATAAAACCACGTATCTCCATTGCTGTGTTTCAAAATTTCTGCTTCTAGTTTGTTTTTTCAAAGCTTGACCCCTTTGCCCCCCCCCCCTCGTAACTCGAAAACGGCTCCTATTCTCATCTTGAAATTTTTTCCTGAGTTTTCTCTTATTATAAGCTTCCACTTAAACCTTGGTTCGATGGTCGAATCGAATACGGAAAAAGGGGCGAAATTTTTCTTTATAAATGGAAATTTGACAACACCTGAAGGTTCATACGGCGTTCTTCCTTAGCACGACAGTACAGCTGAGAGCCGGATTCATTGTCGTTTCTTATCTCCCTAAGCTCCGCCTACACAGTTCCTTTCCATAGGAGAGTTATAGTAGGGCGGATAAGCATAACAATCGTGCATTTCTNTTCAACGCGAAAATTCGGCAAAACATAGGGAAATTCGGAACCCCTGCCCCCCCGGCCCCCATGGCCTCAGAATTTTGGGCTCACTTGCGAAATTGAACCTTCTATAGGTAAAGATGATATCCTGAAAGTTTCATGCTTTCTTCCAGAAATGCACGATTCTGGGAATTTTTCCCCCTTATCCGCCCTACTATTATACCAGCGTACGCATGGAGTCTTAGCAACTCATTTTTGGTGTTCTGAATAAAGACGATAACGCGTGCAAAAGTTTTGATTATTTGGACAAGTTTTGTATGTTCACGAGACGGCAAAGCTGATAAGGATTTTCAAACAAAATCATAACGTTTATTTTTTTTTTTTTCAAATAAGTTAAATCCCATTTTCGGCTGAGGTTAGTATTATGCTTTTCAAATAAAGAAAAGAAAAAAGAAAAAAAGAAAAGAAAAAAGAAAAAAAAGAAAAGAAAAAGAAAAGAAAAAAGAACCAACACTCTTTTAAATGAGCAAGACCTGCATTTCCGATCGATAACATACATATCTCGTGGAGAGATTAAGCTTGTATATATTAGTAGTTTATTGAGTTGTACAATCTTATTGTGAAAATTTCGCACGCTTCACTGTATGAAAAGGAACAGATTCTTGCAAGCCCTCACTATGTCTTGAGTTTTTTTATTTTCTTTTTTTATTTCTAACGATGAATCGACGTTATCACAAACAAAAAATTTTCCACGGAGTTTCGAAATAAAGTTTGCCTGGTATAGTGCACAACCCGGCATTTTTGCGATTATATGCGTGGAAAAATTACTCTGTTTCCGATATTTTGCAACCCTGGAAATCTTTTCGATCAAGCATGGGTTGAAGTGGTGTAGCTGACCGTCGCAGATTACGCAAAAACCCTTCAGTAAATATTCAGTATTTCATTGAAGTGCCTCGAAGACTATAATATCTATTGACTATTGATTTAGAGGAGGTTTCCTATCATGAACTGCAACCGAGTCTCGTGGGTTATTATCTTGACACCGCACTTGTAAGTGCCCATTCGGTTAGTATAAACAATGCTTCTTCTTTTTATGCAAAATTATATACTCAAAACGAGACATTTCTTGTCTCGGGGGTCAATTGAATTTGAACTTTTTCCAAGACTGAAAAATGCTCTCGGCAGACTTTCATTTTATCTCAGAGATAAATTTGTTTACGACACAGTTACAAGTATTTGTACCATGAAAGTAAAATCAAATCTGACACGTAGGAAACTGCCATTAAAACGTCTCAGCACGTCATTGGCTTTGGTCAATCAATTTCAAATTAGTTTTCCCTCTGTATTCCATTGTAATTTAGTACTTACCAACGCCCAAGGAACAGAGGATTCGACCTATGTAAAGGTGTATCACCGAGGTAGCTGCGGCTATAATTCCATACCCCAATGCACTGGTGAGAAAGTAACACTGAATAACCACTTTGCGGCCAAAATAATCCACAAATGGCCCACAGAGAATGGCCGAGAGGGGAGCCGCGAATATTCCAAGACTTGCTGAAAATAAAGAAATGAAAATAGTATATTAGAGTTTACCATCTTCGTGTTTTTGCTTGATAGATAACCGGAATGGATTAGCCGCAACTGAAAAAAATCCGAAAAGACAACTCATCATTTCAAATCTTCAGCAAAAATGGCGCAGAACCATCTGTAGATTTGAATGATATTCTTACTATATACTGCCGTGCTGAGGAAGAAGGCCGTATGAGCCTTCAGACGTTGCCATATTTCTTCAATAAAAAATAATTCACTCAAAACATTGTAAATATTTTTCTTCAAAATTTTCAGACAATTTTGTTCAAAATCGTTTCTAAAATTTCTTAAAATTTCAATGGAGAAGATGCATAATTTTCCTGAAAATTACATGTTAAACGCTGGGAAATTTGACAACTCTCGAATTTTCATGCGGCGATTTTCCTTAGCACGGCATTACAGTAATAAATGCATTAGACGGTATTGTTGACAATTATTTTCCATCATACTCCTTCAAAATAAAACAGCGAGTGGTGGAAAATCATGAAATTTTGCAACGTTCTCAGAATTTGTTCTTTAGACTACCTATTTCAATTTTTCTAGTCGCTAGGAGCGACTATAATCTGGCAAGAAGTGGGTAAACTGGAAGCAATAAACACTCGAGAACCCTTGATTGAAATCCGATCGAAGAAGAGGCACACGCGGAAATCATTCGCCAATATCAAGTTGAAGTATTGGCAAACGAGCCACCGATGAAAATAAAAACATTGCAGGGTAAAAATGAAATCAGGAATTTAAAAGTATGCTGCTGCCAAAAATTTCCAAGCGCGATCAATGTACTCATGTTACTGATACTAAGTATTATCGGTAATAGCGAGAGGTAGGTGTAAGCACTTATGTGCTCTTTTATCCGAAATTAATGGGAATTTTCAGGAACAAAATTAACAAATACCCTAAAAGATCGGGTCAGTAATGATGAAGTGCGTCAGATCATGGGAGAAGAACATAACAAATGGGGAAAATGAAAATGACGGTGTGGTTGACCATAGTCAGAATGGACGAAGAAAAATTTAGGTTGAGAAAGGAATCAGAGAGAGAGAATAAAAACCATCCCATGTCTTGACAACGGTTGCGGCGAAGAGCCTTTTCCGGAGAGCCTGTGCTTCGTAAACGATAATTATTCAGACACGGCTGCCGTGGGGTTGCATATTCATTCTTCTGAAGGCGACTTCATTGAAGGCGCTAAAAATCCTCGTCCGCGGTCGCGTGCCTCTTGATTCACCGTCAACAACAGACAACTCACCTCTAACTTTTTTTACATAAAGTCATTGATAGTAGTAAGGTACATTTGTCTGTACAATAAAAGGGTATACCTCTTCATCGCTTTGCAGTCTAGCCTTGCCTTCATGTATGATGATGCACTGATGTAGTACCGTTTTCTTTCTATAGGGTTTCGAAGTATTGGCTACAAATGGGTATCTGGAGTGGTTGGTTGGTCGGTAAATCATTTTATAAGGTGTTTCAACAATTAGAGTCATTGGCATCTTTAAAAGTTAGAAAGGTCGAATGTCAGCCTCCGTAAAACTGAGCTTACTATAGTCATTGAAAATCTCTCTGGAAAAAAAGTTTAGTTTTTGAGACGCATGGGAGTAACAGAAATACCAAAATAGCTCTTGAACAGTCTTTTGCGGTCTTGTAACAGTGCTCAGTGGGAGGAAGCTAAGTTCTTTTAAAGTTTGTTTGTCAGAAAACAATAATACAATGTACCCTACCTGACCAGCGTTTTGCAATAGGTAACCAAATACAACTTTCTTTCAAAAAAAAAAAAAAAAAGAAAAAAAAAAAGGGTTAGGGATAGTTTCGAGTTTTTCGAGAAACGCATTTCCTTCTGCCAGAAGTCCAATGTGAGCGAACAATAGGTATTTAATATGCAAAATGTGGATTTTAAGGATTTTTGGTTTTTTACATTGAACCACGCAATGAAACCTTAATATCTACTTTTCTCCCCACTAAGTCCACGTGTTTTGGCTCTTCCTTGCTAAAACCGCCCAATTGTAAGCGAGTTGTACATTATTGTAGTACTCGAAGAAAAATATGCTAAGTATATACCTAACTGTAGAAGCCAGGTAGACTTTTGTCTAAGGGTAAATAAAATCCTGGCAGCATTTATCAAACGTGAAAGATATTATGCAAGAGTAAGGTAATTTAGGTATAACTACACTTAAAAGTCGTATACCCGAGGCCGTTCACCATAATTCTTTCCACGTACTCGTACTAGCATGGCAGGCAATGACAGGACAACACACTTGGGATTGGGCGTGCGTGGTCTAGTCATGCCGGAAATATAAACCGTGAAACTGGAGTCAGTTCCGCTTATTGTCAGTGTCAGTCTAGCAACTACCAAAAATTGTCCATAACACCTCGCATTACTGGTCTTTTGTTGATAATATACGTTGTATATTTCTCGAGGAGCTTCATCTTTAAAATATTGCCTTTCTATGAGTGCAATACCTCCAGCGGCTCTGCTACTGCTTAAACGCATCGAATCCGTGGAAGTTAGTATCCTTCAAAATGCCGAACGCAGTGTCACATAACCGTTTAAATTTGATTTTCGGAACAAGAAGAAATCTTATGCCTTGGGACTTCTTTTTTGAAACTGGCGTAAACACTAACCTATCCACGTTTCCTGGTCCTTAGTAATCTGAATTGGACTGTCAGGCTCTTGAAGACATGGCAATAAAACAGCAGAATGCGCTTCGACTACTCCATTGAAGAAGAAGATCATAATAGCCCCTCCGCATGCGAAAACCTGGCCATGAAAGAAAAAAAGGCTTTTTAGCTTTGATTTTATTTATGTTTGTCCATCAGGCACCCCAGCCTTATTTATTAAGCGCTACCGTGTCTATAACTTGGTTCTCTTATACGTGTTCCTTGACATAGTTTAGTACCTAGCTGATGGCAAAAAATAATTCCTTTACAACCGTAAGATACACGTATCCACAAACTTTTGCCCTCCATTGCATAGAAATTAATACATTTTTGGCAGGATGGGAGAAAGTGACGGGGATATTAAATTATTAGGGACCAGAGGGTCTAAATGCATCGGAGTTCTGCCGTGATAGCGAAGAGAGCAGTATGTGCATTTATGTATGAGCCATGGTTAGCACATTCTTTTATGTGTCGCGGAGTTCATCCCAGCATGCTTTTACTGCTCTCTTTGCTATCTCGACAGAGCTACTAAGATTATTCTCACCTGACACAAATTCTTTTATTCACTAACGGGTGAATGTGTTAAATCCGAGATTTCAAGGAATTATCGTCAAATCTCAAGAAATTTCTTCCAAAAATTTGAAAATTTGCGACACCCCTCAGGCAAAGAAAAATTTGTCAAATGAAATTTTGCAACGTTCTGATGCAATTAACTCTCTCTTGCTCTTACCTCTCCTGACGTAAGCTACCGACGGATTATCATAAATATGAAGCCAGAAATGTACTACCTACCTCTAAAAAAGTCTGCGCCTTTACCGGCATGCTTTCGTAAGAGCAGTTTTTGTACTTTATTTACTGCGAAAAAAGACATATCTTATTATGGGATCGTTTCATTAACTAGGTGGATAGCCGATGTTATTCGTGAGCATCGATCATGTACCTATCTAGGAACATTAGTTCAAAAAGACTAAATCGTGGTTGTGAACAACCTTTTAAGACATTGATCCAATTTGAGAGTGATTCAGGTGGTAGAAACATAGCAAGAAAATAAAAACTTGGATAATATTTATTTTGACGGAAAACTAAGAAAAATAAAGCGTAAATGTTGCATTAAGGCTTTAAATGGATATCTTGAAGTAGGTATAGCCTCTTCAGCAGGATTAGTGCGTTGGTTAGTCATCGCACTGTACGAAGAAAAATAAACTTCCTCGTAAATCGTAATACAGTTCTGCTGTTTTCTTTTTCACACTGTTTAGTGATATAATTGTTTATCACCTTTGTGGAATTTGCCACGAGTGAATTGTGGTAAGTGTAGGAAGGAGAACGTAAGTTGGCAATTTCAGAGCATGGCGATGAAATCTATTAATCTCTCCCCTGGTAAAAATTGGCAGTAGAATCTGTGTTCCAAAATACCATAGACCTACAGCCGGCTGTATGATTTCTGATAGCTTCTATAGCCGGCTACACAATTTCTTATAGCCTTTTATAGCCGATGGCGATTAAGCAACAGCCAGGCGATAAAGTGTACGCTAAACGTTACTAATTACGGATGCTAGGACTTAGTGAGTTTTTGGAATGCTGCTATCTTTTTGGGCCGTAGTATCTTGATTTATTTTGTGAGGAAAGCTCCGTACTTTTGATGGATGCCTGCCATTACTAATATATTAGAGCGCCTTCAGTTTCGTATGATACTGTGCAATACCTCTGGTGTGAAATAGTTGCTTCAAGCGCCGCGGCAGGCGGGCAGCCAGCGCGAAACACGCATTGCCGCCTACAAACCTAACAGGGATACTTCACGCGTTGCGTAATGCGAGAAGTATCCCTGTTAGGTTTGTAGGCGCCAATGCGTCGCCGCTCCGCTTTGTGTTAGGCTCTAATATTTAATCTGGCGGAGTCAGCGTTATTCAACCCATGATTTTGAAATGTTTGCACATCCTGTATGGATTACTCTCATTTTAATTGATGAAAACAAATATATGTATTAAAGGAAAATATAATGTGTGTTTTGTAAATATTAAGGTGGTTCCGTATCAAACTTAATGATTTCCAAAGCACACGAATTTCTACACAATCTCCTATAGCCTTTAATAATCGATGGCGAAAAAGCAACAGCCAGGCGATAAAGTGTAAAGCTCGGCGATAGGAACTATAGCCTGGCTGCATAATTTTTTATCGCTTCGTATAGCCCGGCCGTATGATTTTGTCCGCATTCTACAGCCAGCTATATGATTTTCTGTAGCCTTCTTTAGCCGGCTATAAGAATTCCTATGGTATTTTGAAACGCAGCTCTTATCGCCAATTTTTACCAGGGTCGCATTAAAAATGGCACTGCTTTTGTCACATTACACAATTTTCCCACTAAGCATCCGATTTCTTAAAAGTCTCTTTTCTTTCGTGCAAGGGAAACATTTTCACAAAAAAATGTAACCAGAACTGCAAAGGGGACCCAATTTCAAAATCAATTACACGGTGTTATAGAAATAAATTGAATTAATCGAAGTTTTCTTTCCAGTCTTCCTTAGAATTTCTTGTTACAATTGCCCAGGTTGTCTAAGTTATGAGGATAGAACATTAGTCGTAAATAGAATGTAATAACTCTATGTGTTCACAACAAGAGCACCCTGTAATTGTAATGAAACCATCTGAAGCTCCAGAATCCGAGGACTAGGAAAAAGGCCCAGAACTGAATTTTCTGTCACCAGCTCTGATGAATGTATAAAAGCTGTTTTCAGTTTCGGAATCCGAGCCTTAGCTAATAGAGAAGGAGACTTTTAAAAAGTTGACGAGTTCTCGGAATAATCGTTTTTAGGTGAGGGGCTTGGAGGACAAGGCGCATAAGTGCAGTTTTCGAAAATATCGTAATATTAATGATTACAACTAAATAGAAGTTGTAATGAAATCTGAAAAATTCACAGGTAAAATCCAATTTTTAAGCGTCAACATGTGAGTTTGAACTTTCTTTCCGCCGCAAGGCTTCTTCAGAAACTTTAAACACGTTTTTCTAGAAACAGCAAAAACTGTTCCTGTGCACCTTGTCCTTCAAGCCCCTCAAATGTCCTTCGGGAAAACTGACCAAAGACTCTACCTTTTCAAAACAAAATCACTCTTTGCAGAACGCAGAAATGAACTGTCGTACCGTTGACGTCGATTATTGAATTTGATAGACAAAGTGATGGACAAAGAAGACAAAGAGAAAATGGAGCAATCCAATCGGTCAAAACGGGTGTTTGTTGCAGACTAAGGGAGAAAATGATGGACTACCCGATAGCAATCTATGAGGAACCCTATAGTAAGTCCATAATTTTCCCTCTTAGTCTATAACATCCACCGGTTTGAACCAAAAGATCGTTCTAATTTCTCTTGGAATTCTCGGTCTATCACTTTGCCTAGCAATTTCAATAATCAGCTCTCCGGTTTAATCTGCCCATTTGAAGGAATATGTACGGAGATTGAGTATGGACTTCATTTTGCAATCAGGAACTACAATTTCTGGCTCATCCGTAAAAACACTGATGTGCATAGGGAAACTAATGGTACATACGTTGTTTCGAAACGAAGCCAGAGATTGTGGTTCATTGTAAAATGTTGTCCACATCGACGATGAAACTACCAGACCACGTTTCTCGTTTGTGGTGTTTAAAAATCTCCGCTCCCATTTTATTTTTGTGAAGGAGAACAGCCCATTATCATTCCTTGAAGTTTTCACAGATTTGTCTTTAATCACGGGAGTTTTCATGGGTTGACGTTGAGCAGTTTTCTATTTAAAAGATAAAGTATGACAGCGGGCTGATTGTTGAAATTGATGAACAGAGCTATAGATAAAAAAGACAAAGGGGGTATGAAGGGATAGTACAGCAATCTACATAGGGGGTAGGTATTAAACTAACTCACGGCAATCCACGAAGACCCTACAGTTAGTCTACAATTTACCCCCTTAGCCAATAAGAACCACCCATTTCAACCATTAGAATCGCTCCATACTCCCTATGTCTTCTTCATCTCTAGCATTGTCTATCAATTTCAACAATTTATAGACAATTCATAAAAATTCATAGACAAAGCGATATAGACAAAGAGGACATTATGAGTATGGAGAATCTTATTGGTTAATTTGGGTGGTTCCTATTAAATACGGGGGTAAATGATGGACTAACTAAAGGGAATAGTGCGTTGCCGTTATAGTTAGTCTACCTACCTCATTTGTCCATTGTAACCAACCGCTCCCACCAATAGGATCCCTCCGTATCCTTTTTGTCTTCTTTGTCTATAGATTTTTTTATCAATTTCAACAATCAGCCCGCTGGAAGTCTAAGACGCACGGTGGGTCGAGTCAATAGAAGAGGTCGGACAAAATTTGGAAACTTTAAACGCTTATAACTCCGTTTATACAAAACTTTGAGGTTCTAAAAGTGGTTCCATTGGTTTCCTCGTAAAAGTTTCTTCTGTAAGCACCCCTAAAATTTTTAAATGTGACGAAATAAACATCAAAACTCGCAGTTGGTGTAAAAAATATCATGTCCAACCTCTCTAATCGACTCGATCCACTGTGCTGCGGCTGACGTCCATCTCACTCTAAGGGAGAGGAAAGCCAGAGCGCCTTCAAATGTTCGTGTATGCAACAAGGACATCCCCTGAGTACGAATAGTTGTATTCGTGCAAATCGAGATCCGCGGTCTGGCAGTTTCAGCGCGGATATGCTGATAGTTGACTGACCATCTTCCCGTAATGTTCCGACTCGGCGGCATCGTCCCTGGATATGGCCGGCTGGAGTTTGCGGACCCCGTGGACCCGGCGGAAGGACATGACCGCACCCCGCTCGCCCGACGAAGGCGACGACGACGATGATGCTAAGCGCACAAGAACCGACCAAAACACGACGCACGCTCACTCGAACATCGGCCGAGGACTCCAAGAGACTGACCCGGCTCAATCGCGATCCGCACTCCACGGATAGCTCTTCAGTTTCCGCCGAGGCATTTGAATAATGAGATCGCGGTAACGTGGGTAATTCTGCCGTGCTAAGGAAGAACGCCGTATGAGACATTAGACGTTGCCAAGTTTCTTCCAAGCAAAACCGAATTTACTGGGAAAATTGTGAATATTATTTTCCCGAATTTTCAGACAATTTTGTACGCAATACGATCTAAAATATTTGAAGGTTTCAAGGAAAAATATGCATGAATGTTGTCAAAAATACATGTTTTAGCATGGGAAATTTGGCAACTCTCGAATGTTCATACGGCGGTCTTCCTTGGCACGGCAGAATTGACCAAAGGGACCCCAAGTCTACCGTGCTAAGGAAAAACGCCGTATGAGTATTCGAATGTTGCCAAATGTCCTCTCAGAAAATAATTACTTTTGAAGAGAGGTATGAATATTTTTCCTTGAAATAGTCAGACTTTTCGGATCCAACTACGAACAAATTTTTTTGAAAATTGGAGGAGAAATATTCACGAATTTTCGGGAAAATTCGTGATTTGTCGGAGTGAATTTGGCGACACCTCATGGCTTATACGGCGTTCTTCTATAGCACGGCAGGAGTGCCGCGCTTGTTTTCAAACATTCGCCATTCAGTGAAACTTGGGTGGAAACGAGTAGCGTCCGTGACGCGTGAGTGTGAAATCCACTCGACGCGCGACGCGCCTGCTCTGCCGCACGGTGGATCGAGTCAATAGGAGAGGTCGGACAAAATTTGGAAACTTTAAGCGCTGATAACTCCGTTCATACGAGACGTTGGGGTCATAAAAGTGGCTTCATTGGTTTCCTCGTGAAATTTTCCTCTAGAATCACCCCTAAAAACTTAAAATGTGACGAAATGAACATCAAAATTTGCAGTTTTAGTCAGAAAATTCATGTCCGACCTCTCTAATTGATTCGAGCCAGCGCGTACCGTGCCAAGGAAGAATGCCGTAAGAGCGTCCTGCTGTTGCCAAATTTTCCCCACAAAATATGTATTTTTAAGGAGAGTTATGCATATTTTTCCTTGAAATTTTTAATCTTTTAGGCTATTAAATTGTGAACAAAATTGCCTGGCAAAATTGAGGAAAAATATTCAGAATTTTCCCAGTAAATTCTTTTTTTATCGGAGGAAATACGGCAACGTTTGAAAGCTCTTACGGCGTTTTTCCTCAACACAACGGTGTTTGTTGACGTCGAGTCTTTACTGAAAAGAACCGATTCGCTTACCAAATTCACAATTGTGATTTGGACTTCTTTTTGCAAGAAGGGACCAAAATGTTTGGCTCATTTGAGGAACAACATATTTGCCATTAGTTTCCCTATGCCGATAAGTGCTTTTATGATTGAGTCCGAAATAAAAGTTCCCACAATTAATCAATTGCAAAATAAAGTTCATTTGGACTACGTTTCGCGATTCTGCCATCTAAGGAAGAGCGCTCTATGAACCTTCAGACCTTGCCAAATTTCCTTTGATAAAATACGATTTTTTAGGAAAGTTCGAAAAAATTTCGTTTGATTTTTCAGAGAATTGTATTCGAAATCAGATCTATTTTTTACAAAATTTCAAGAGAAAATATTCTTCCTCAAAAATAAACAGGCTATATCAGGAACTTTGGCAACTCTCGAATGTTCATACGGCGTTTTCCCTTAGAACGGCAAAAAAGATATCCACTATTTCTGACTTATACTTAAAAGCACTTATCTATGCAGGGAAACAAAAGGCACGTTCGTTGTTTCTAAAATGAGCTGGAATGCCTCCTGATCTCACGACGTGGTTCCCACGCCAAGGAAAACATCGCGGTGGTGAAGACAAAGTATCTTGGCTCGCGACTTTACTATACTTTTCTGAATGTATGGGAGATGGTTGATCATTCTTATTGACCAAAATTCGTACTATTTTTCTTTTCTCTCTTGATAGTTTTCTCCGAACTTTCGAAAATTTTTTTACGGTATTATGCTCTTGAAAAAATACGTGGGAGCAGTAAATTAGAAACTATGCGGTTGCACTTACATTTTGAAATAAGGAACTACTTTTTCTGACTGATACATAAAATTACTTACTTGCATAAGGAAATAATAAATATTTACCCGAAATTTCCGGTGGATATTTTGGAATGAGTGAAGAATATTTAGATACAATTTCTGTTAAAACCGTTGGTTGTTTTAATGTAAAAATGAAACTTGATCGGGAAAACCAACGTCATAATTAGAGATATGCACTTGCACTTTCTTACTTTAACTATCGATATATTTTGTAATGATAAACTGTTGATACTCAGAACAATGGTGAGATGATTTGATACATCTGATATAATAATTGACGTTGCATTTGCAAAAAACCATCATACGTTAAGNGGGATGGGACTAAAAAGCGCGGAATTAGTCCTTGAGGGCTATTTGAAATAGTAAAAAAATAGAGAAAAAAAGTAATATCTTTTCAACCTCATCGAAAAAAAACTCGAGATTCCGAATTGTGCCGTGTCACTACAAGTCGAGACAAATCACAGCGAGTGTCAAGTGCCTTAATTGATACATCTGATATAATAATTGACGTTGCATTTGCAAAAAACCATCATACGTTAAGTGTGATGAAAATGTCTTTGCTATTTTTCTTTGATTCACACCAGAAAAATATTACAGTTACTCTTAAAGAGCGCTGTAATATGATCTTTCAAATAGTTAAAAACTCATCGATATATTTTCGAAGGACAGGAATAAATATCACACTTAGGTACAATAAAGTATCTCCTTGTTAGTCACAGCAGTGGACGCGAATCGATGTCAACGCCTGGATGCAACTATTCGTGTCTAACGGATGTCCATATTGCATATACAAAAGATTGAAGGCATTTCGGCTTTCTTGGCATTAATAGCGCTGCACTGCTGCGCGTACCATCTAAGCGTAGGCGATTTGTTTACTTAATGGGAAAAAGTGAAGCTGTGATCGCATGATCGGCAGCATTCAGAATAAAATGGGTGAATATGGACTTTTTCAATCGAAGTGCATGGTGGTTTTAAATAGTGCTTATACTCGAATTTCGTAGTGTAAGAGAATTGACTGCAACAAGTCTCACTCGTTCCATTCGGTTAGTGAAAAATTCTGAACTTTTCATTGTTTTACAACTTGTTGATCGTTAAGTTGACTAATATCTCTACGAATAAAAACGAAATGTCTCATTTATGTAATGAAAAATTATATTAATATTTAAAATGGAAAAAACAACAACATTTCCAGCATAAAAATACACATCTCAAGTACATACAAAATATTCTCCAACGTGGGGGACTTTTACAACCTCATTTTTCATATTCGTTTCAAGAAGCCAAAAAATTAATCTGGAGATCATGTTTCTTGGTTATAGTAACAAAAAATTGAAGGAATAAGGATCGAGTAAATTTTTTTGTATGAAAGTTACTTGTTGAAAGACGTTCAATCATTCATATTAAGTTACTACTTTTACATACTAATATTACATACTTCTAATAGCAACCCTGCTTTCGAGGTGTTTTGACAAGCGAAATGAGAATAAAGTAATCCTGAACGCCTCGTAGATCAAAATTCGATAAAATGCACAATGACAAAATGCAATTTTTGGACAAAAATTTCAAAAATTGTAGGCCTGTACGCTTAAATATTTCATCAACGAAATTAGATGAACAAATAAATGTATCGAGAGAAGTTTATCCTTTTTACAAAACGTTTTAAAATGTTACCTACTATTCTAACTCACTTACAATTAAAAAATAATTCCACTTCGAGCAAAACCTTTATAATAAAAGATTGTTAAAAATTGCCAAGGGAAAAACCTCGAGTGTTTAAAAATATACTTATCCATAAAACGCATAAAAAACAGAAATATATATATCTACATACAATAAAACCTATAATGAAAATAGTGGTCGAGGAAGGTTGCACTAGAAATTTTGAATGCCACAGTTGCAATTTCAAGTGGAACATTCGGTGATTAGTTCGTAATTTTGAAATTTCTATCACATCGATGGCTGAAGTTGGAAAAGGCGTATTTCTGATTGCAAAATTGTAAATTTTCGTTCGTATTTTCTATTTTTAAAGAAATTTAACCAACAGTTTATCTTGCATTTTTTTTTCATCCATCCAAAAACATTCCTACCAGAATTCAAGGAACTATTTTGTTAAGTTTTATTTTAGACTTAGAGATTCTTAAACTTTGTAATTCGATGCGCAACACTTGACTAAACGGCCACCACTTTGAAGCTTCACTTTGAACGTCTGTCCAGGGCTTAAGCATTTTTCAACTTTAACCATAGATTGATGAAACCTCGATCATCGGAATTTTTGGTGTAAGTCTATTAAACTTAAATTCTGGTATGATCTTAAAAATTAGGTACCGAAGATCAAAACCTCCCCCCTTTTTTTCGAAAATTAGGTTATGATGCTAAGCCTATATCTCAGAGATTGAAATTTTTGATGCTCAGTGTCTGAAATCACATCAATTTCGTACCACATTCATACTTGCACACGTTAGAATTAAATTAACCTTTTTTTACAGTGCGTCTTTCATTCTACCTCTCGAAGATTCGCCTTCTCGGCATCGCCCCTGGACTTCTTCTCGTAGCCCCGCTCGATCTCATAGAGAGATTTGTCCTGGGTCTCGGTGAGGACGAACAACCCGAACAAGGCTATGAGCACAGACGCCCCGGCGCAGAGCAAGAGGACCCCGGTGACCTTGAACACCTCGACGAAGAACACATAGGACTTGAGGAACACGAACATAGAACAGGAGCCGACGAAGAAGACGTAGCCGGACATGAGCCCGCGGACGCGGAGCGGAAAGACCTCGCCGGACATCAACCACGGGAGGTGGAGGACCCCGGCGCAGGAGACGAGGACGGAGACGGAGACGGCGAGGATGGGGATCCAGGTGTGGGCGCGCTCCGCGGGGGCGACGCCGTCGAAGCGCTGCTCGTAGATGGCGGCCACGAGGAGGGAGGCGCCCATGGCGAAGCCCGAGAGGGCGGTCGCCGTTTTCCGGCGCACCTTCGACGTGAAGTAGAGCCCCACGGTGGAGGTCATGAGGAAGCGGGCGATGGCCAGGTAGAGCGAGACCTGGAACGGGTCGTACTGGGTGCCCAGCTCCCCGACGAAGTCCACCGTGTAATAGAGGAGGTCGTAGACGCCCGTCGCCGCCTGGAGGAAGTGGAACAGCGCGATGATGAGGAACGGCTTCCAGACGGTCGGCTCCAGCCACGTCTTGCAGTCCAGGTGGTGGTTCCTCTCCAGCGTGTCGCAACTGGCCTGCAGCAGTTTCAGCTCCTGTAAATGGACAGCCACTGGGTTTTAAACGTGTGCGTAAGCAGGCTCGGTCTGGACATGAGGTCAATCTGCCATGGGCAGGTACGCCCTTATAGGCGCGCCGAAGGCACGCCCTCACTGGAAAAAAAAAAAACACATTGGATCTGGAGTCCAGACTCTTGAAAACATTGACAAGAAAAAGTACTCTTGATTCAATCAGATTTAAGCTTAAATCAAAAGGAAATACGCTCAAATTAAGAGGCTTGGTTCTTGATTTAAGCGTGAATCTGATTGAATCAAGAGTATTTTTTCTTGTCGATGTTTTTAAGAGTCTGGACTCTAGATCCAATGTGTTTTTTTTTTTCCAGTGCTTCTGACAGATAGCAAGTTAGGAATAGAGAGAAAACTATGACCGAGAAAATATGCAAAAAATGTATAAATGGACGGGAGAAGAGGAAGTAAAGAGTTAAGAAAGGTGCTTACAGGCTCACACGCATGATATAGGTGAACGGAGGTCCAAGAACTATAAACGTTGGCGGATTCGGGTGTTTCCTTGGAAATTTTAAAAACACCTAGTGCGACACTCATACACACAAACACACACACAAAAAAAACGGAAGTAAGTTCCGAGAGGCGCCAGAGTATACTACAGTTCTAAAAAATTTAAGTTTTGGAGGGTTTTCTTGGGAAAGGAATTTTTAAAAATGACTATTGATTTGGACACACCATAGCATATTTAGAGCAAACTTAACCTTAATTTATCTTAAATTTGAAAAATAAGAGACATCTGAACGCGATGCAGCTATTCGTGCTACATGGATGTTCAAAGTGCATATGAAAAATTAAAGACGCGATGAAGTGAGCAATGGAGCGTGAACTCGCAATAATGCTCTGCTCTATGCTGCTATTAAGAGTCGGGAGAAAAGTAAAAGTTACAGTGCGAGGCCGGATTACGCATCTCCTATCTTCGGCTAAGTTACTAGTCCTTGGAGCCCTACAGTCCTTGGAGCAGCACTATAAATGAGGCAAACGAAACCAACCTAATATGGAAACAGAGCAAGGGAAAAGATGCGCTTTGACGACGGCGCAGAGATACGACTATTCGTGCTTGATGGATGTCCGTGTGGTATCTACAAAATTGAAGGCGCTATGGCGCGAGGCGTGAACTCGTAATGCTCCGCTCTATGCTGCCGTTGAAGTGTCGCTCCGATTCGGGAGAAAAGTTTTAAAAAAAGGCTTTAATACGTCTCTCCTGCCTTTTGCTGTGTTGGTTCTCGATTCTTTCTTTTTTTTCCCACGTCTGATTCTTTTTTAGGATGGATCCGTTTCCAACTCCACACTCAATTTTATATCTCTCTTTCCTTCAAAATGTCCCGCTGTATTTACTTACTAGATTGAATCATTTATTTTTTGATTAGGTTAAAAAGATCTGAACTAACGAGGTTAACACGTTTCTTGGGTTCATCATTTTTGTACTTTTAGTTTTTAAAAGCAGTATTTTAGGTCGTTAGCTTTAGCTTGGTTTCTCTGGAAATGATGGTGCTTGGATGCGTCAAACAGCTTTGATTTTTTTTTTTCGTGCACATGTCTATCGATTACTTTAATACGTTCAACTTTACAATTTTTACTTTTTACGATTACATAACTTTGAACCTAAAAAAAGATCAGCACTATTTTACGCTATTTTCAGGTTCAAAGTTGAATAATCGTATAAAGTAAAAATTGCAAAGTTGAACGTATTAAAGTGATCGATAGACATGCGAAATGAAAAAATAAAAATAAAAAATCAAAGCTACTGGACGCATTTAAGCACCATCGTTTCCAGAGGAACCGAGCTACATTAAAAACTAAAAGTCTGGAAATGATGAACCCAAGAAACATGTTAGCCTATTCCCGACCAGGCGACCTGAGTTTGATGGTCTCAAACAATGGTTGCCTGGGACTGGTTGTTTAGTAAGGACGGAGGGGGGATGGGACTAAAAAGCGCGGAATTAGTCCTTGAGGGCTATTTGAAATAGTAAAAAAATAGAGAAAAAAAGTAATATCTTTTCAACCTCATCGAAAAAAAACTCGAGATTCCGAATTGTGCCGTGTCACTACAAGTCGAGACAAATCACAGCGAGTGTCAAGTGCCTTAATTTTTTCTGCATGCAACATGCAATACATCATCTTCTCCCAGACGCCACACGGAAAAAAAATTGCTGATTCAACAATTCAATTGCTAAAAACAGTGAGTGCAATGTCTCAACGCAGATTTTACAACAAAAAAATGCTACTTCAACCACATTGTAAACTAATTTAATCACGGGGGTGGTTAAAGTAGTATTTTTTCGTTGTAAAATCTGCGTTGAAACATTGCACTCACTGTTTTTAGCAATTGAATTGTTGAATCAGCAATTTTTTTCCCCCGTGCAGACCAAGGTTTGTAACTTTATTCTAAGGATGCTAAATTGACTTAACCTATTCAATGTCCTCTGCAAATCCCGTTTAAAAATTTTCTGACCTTTGCTTGCGATCAGAAAAAACATTAAGCTTGCGATCAGAAAAAACATTAAGTGAGCTTCCCAGTCAGAAATGATCCATGCATGTCTGGAAAAAGTACGATTCAGGACTGGAAATTTTGTTACGTTTGCTCGTCTGGGAACTGATTATACCTACATCCATTGAGCCAAAATACACTGATCATTGCTTTTCGTAAATAAATCGATTATGATATAATTTTGGATTTACATCCATTGATAGTTCTCCATTGGCAGATCCGCTGACTTACGCCCCCCTGTCCGTGAACTGTGTCACGCACACGAAGATATCTCAGTATTTGCGCGGGTTTTGTGCTTACCTCCTCGATCCATTCATCGGAGCGACCTAATCTCTTGAACTCGGCTTTAGCACGGCTGATTTTGCCCTGTTTGACAAGCCAAGGGGGAGATTCGGGGGTGAAACTTTCGTAGACGAAGAGTAAGAGGCATAGCAATGCATACAGGGATGATCCCATGGTCCAAGGTAATGTTGCTCCAACTACATACGTGAACAGGATTCCTCCTGTGAACATGGGCAGCGTCAACGACAAAAACAGGCTCCGTTGGTACTTGGTGCAAACCTCCGCGATGTAAATTACGCCTGCTACTTCAAAACCTAAAAAAACAGCCATCAGACGAACATTTTATGATTTGTGGCAAGAACATGAACGTATTTCTGCTAGACAGAACGAGAGAAGGGTGGGAAAGAAGAAGTGTGCTCGTTAGTTCAAGCCGTAAATGACTAAGCCGTAATGATTGAAGCCGTAAGAATGAATGGTAATTATAAGGCGAATTTTGGGGAGCAAAAATCCTTGTTAAAAGTCATAGGCGGCAGATCGACAATCGCTGTTCAAACTTTCATAACTTTTTTTCTTTTCAAATAAATAAGTTGATCTCAATCTCACTGGGAAGCTATTAATTTTGTCTTTGAAGCAAAACAAAGATTTGCTTCTTCCTATTTTACTTTTGAAGTCATAGCATTTGTCCTCCTTCTTTTTGAACAGCCTATGTAAAGTTGTCATTCAATTTGGTTGATCCCAGAGGTGTTCAAGAGGCAAAAAGATTTCACAAATTCTGAATATGACTAAGAAGAGTCCTGATCGTTGCAAGACATTCGTTATCCATTTACCTTTTGTCTTTTGTAAAGTCTAAGAGCACAGCCCAAGGAATCAGATAATTTTATCCTAGAACTTTATCTATCAAGGCGAATAATGATGGCTCCTGTATTTTCTCAAGCATGTTAGTTTTTCTTATTGACACCAATTTTAAACTGAAGGCTAAATGAAGCTTGTCAGTTTGTCAATCGCTCTGTGCGTAGCAATGCTTTCAATTACTTCCTAATTACTTACACAGCAAGTGATATAATTCTGCTTACCGCAAATGCATTCATGCAGCTATTCCAACGACACTCAGATCTCATCCTACTGCTGCATCTTTCTTGCTTGAAAATTTCTCTACATCAGTACTTGGAAGATTAAATGTCATGCAAAATACAAGTAACTATTTTAAGTGATCCTTCATTTTAGGAATCAATTAAGATGTTTCCAATTTGTTCAGCATTTCCATTCATGCTCAGATTATTAAAATATGGAAAGGATGTTTGTGTTTAATTCAATCTAAATTTGAATTTGTATATTGAGTTACTGTCCTGTTCCTATTAAATGGAATGCTGTAAAAATAAATTGAACCTCTTCAGGGTCATTTCCAACGAGAGAGAAGTATAAGTACTTTTTTACAACAGCCTCATTTTCTGTTACCGAGGAATATTCGGTAGATTTTCGAAATTGGGACACTCTGAAAAGTTTATTAGAATCGAAGAGAAATTTTCTGGCAACGTGAAAGATCGAAAATATTAGCTGCTTACCGACACCCAGTGAGCAAATTATTCTTCCTATGTAGAGATGAACCACAGAGCTAGCTGCAGCTATGATTCCGTATCCTATGGCACTGATCAGAAAATATCCTTGAATCACTATTTTTCGTCCATATCGGTCTATGCATGGCCCGCAAAGAACAGCAGATAAGGGAGAGGCTGAAATCCCAAGGCTGGCTGGAAAAGACGTCGAGAATGAAATCAAAGAGAATTCAAATTGTTGACCATCATACAATTACTTCTTAAGAGTAGCGGGCTAGTTGTAGTGTTTGCAAGCCTCTTTAAGGAAGTAACAATACAATTTTAAAAAATCCAATCAATGCATAATTCAATTTTACGTGAATATCGCAGATGAAATATAATTAAATTTGAATCGTGAAAAATCACGGCAGTACAGCCACCACTCACCGGCAAACCAATTCGTGCCGAACAAGCTGCTTGGTCTTGACGTCAAATACGATGTCACATTTGACTTCCATGATCTGACGCACTCTATCATTACAGGCCCTGTCCTTTTTCTATAATATGGCTAAAAAAAGTGGAAAAAAGACGATTCGAATCGATTTCCCGGCGAGAGGATTTTTGCAGTAGGTATACCGCCGTAATTTTTCACGATTCAAACTGTTGCATCATTATGATTCAAAGGCCCGATTGCTCTGTAAAAAAATTATTAAATTTTGTCGTAACAATAGTGACTTAATTGCTAGCAATCAACTTTCGTTACATTTATGTAAAAAAAACTCGACAAAACTGCTGAGACCGTAAAAATATACTGCAAAAAATAGCCGACAACTCATCTTTGATTTTTAGCTTGTGCGTCATTATGGATGAAATCTAGTCGTGACATTATTTTCTGATTGACGACATGATGGAAAAAAGGGAACAGAAAAAAAGGAAAAGAAAAAAAAGTCTTTGGATGTTCGGTCCCATAGGGCGAATTCGGTCGAGGTAGGAGTGTATGTACCTTAAAAATTCAAGTTTCCAACCTTGAAATCTTACTGATCTAAGATGAATTGGATTGCACTTTGCAAAAAGGAACCAGAAGCATTGCAATGGTGCTAAGATTGTGCAATTTCATTCTGTGCGATACAATTACTGAAACCATGTCAAAATATGAAATTTACAGGATAATTTTTGTTTTAAATTTACAGTTTTCAGCGAGTAAAATAGAAAGTGTTAATGGATAATCAGGTTTTTCTTCTAAGACAAAAGAAGTTGCACAATTTTAGCAACATTGCAATGCTCCTGGTTCCTTCTTGCAAAATGCAATCCAATTGACAGTCCGGTAGGTATGTATGGTTTTTAGCAAAACAAAAACATCAATTTGTTTCATCTCACACTTTGTCGCCCCTCTGATGTAAGGGCGTATCTCAATTATCATGTGAGCCCTATGTTGCATACAAATCCATACTTTCTGGGGCTCATGCGGATATCGAAGTATGCCCTTCGTCAGAGGAGCCATGACTTGTCCTCTATTGGGAATTTTTTAGTGGATATAGTCTGTCTCTCCTTCGTATTTCTTAAAATGTACAGCTATCGTGCATTATTTTTCTTAGGACGACAGTTCATCATAGTGAAGGATATGAGATGCTCATTCCGCCAATAGAAAGTTTCAAATGAATCTGTGCCTCTGCACTTGATGATAAAGTCCAAAGAAGTGCGAGGCAGTTTGTGGCAATACTTTGAGCCTCACGCCGGACAGTGGATCGAGTCAATCAGAGAGGTCCGACATGAAATTTTTTATTAAAACCGCAATTTTTTATGTTTATTTCATCACATTTTTAACTTTAAAGGGTGACTTTGAAATAAAATTTCCCGAGGAAACCAATGGAAGCACTTTTAGAACCGCAAAGTTTTGTATAAACGAAGTTATAAGCGTTTAAAGTATCCAAATGTTGTCCAACTTCTCCCACGACTCGATCCATTGTGCGCCGAGGAAGTTCGATGCCGATAGGGCTACGCGGCAATAAAAAACGCGCTTTAATTGCCATTAATTGGTGTTTATTGGGATCAAACGAATCTCTTGAAAATGATTCAGTCACCACTGAGACAATGTAGCTTTGCGTCTCTCAAATTCGGAACGAAACTTTTGATATAAAATATGGCATTTAACGTGATTTGACCCAAGATCGGACTAAATACTCTTAATTTTTAACTACAAAGTCTGTCACGGATTAATCATCGATGAAAGTTTTTAGCACGAATAATAATTATTTCATATCAAATAATTTTGATGAAACTTCATCTAAAGTATTAGAGTAGTATTATTGAATTAAGTATTTAATTAAATGTACTTTCTGGATTTAGGACAATGCAGGACCACTTCTCCCCTTCGTCATAATATTCCCTAAATTTTGTGCCTCATAGAATTGTAACAACTTAAATATTTCTGGCCTCTTTTCACTACTCTCCTCGTAGTAAGTAGGAGTAAAGTAAAATTTCACAACTCTCACCTCCTCTCTTTCCTCTGTACCAGTTTCCAAACCACTTATCTTTTCTTTCATACACCATATGATATCTAATTTAATCTCAAGGAGACAAAAAGATTACACCATGAAAGGAAAAATAAATGAATAAAGAATAAATGATATAAACAAATAAATCAAACCGATTCTTTGTCCAAAGTTGTAGAGCTTCTGCTCAAATTAAAAGAACCCTCTAATAGTCAAGAGGAAAAATAAGCTATTTACCACTCCAATTTCACAGCGGCACCATGATTTATTACTAACAGGATTATTACTTCCTGTAATATAGTTCAATTCACTGGTGCAGACTTTTTTACTTCTTACGCTAGTTCAAAGAATTCGTCACATTCAACTTACACGATAATAAAGAGCAATGGCTCAGCATATAGGAGCTAAGTAGTACGGAACGTTGCAAATCGAGGCGCCTACTTTTTTAAACCTTGTCACATTCAATGCAAGTAGGTACTACCTGCTTAATATTACCTACGATGAAAAAGAATACCTACCAATCCATGTTTCCTCATCTTTATCAACGTGAATTGGACTGTAAGCTTCTTGTAGTTGCGGCAGCAGAACGGCAGAATGAGCTTCCACTACTCCATTGAACACAAGGATCGTAATAGCTCCCCCACACGCCCAAAACTGTAAAATAAATGACGGAGATGACATCACCTTCTCTTAAATTTGAAAATCGGCCATAACCTCTGATCACGCTTTAGCCTTGAGCTTTTAACGGAAATTCCGGGAAGTTGACCTGGTAAACATTGGCAGTAGGATCTGTGTTCCAAAATACTATAGACCTATAGCCGGCTGCAAGATTTCCTATAGCTTCTATAGTAGGCTATACAATTTCTTAGAGCCTTTTACAGCCGATGCCGATTAAGCTACACCCAGGCGATAAACTATAAAGCCCGGCTGCATAATTTTTTATCGCTTCGTATAGCCGGGCTGTATGATTTTCTTCGCTTTGCACAGCCAGCTATATGATTTTCTATCGCTTTTTATAGCCGGCTTTAAGAATTCTTACGGTATTTTGAAACGCAGCTCCTATTGCCAATTTTTACCGGGGATATACGGAGATTCAGTGTTCCAGAAAGGCCGAAATTGCACCATTTGGTTTGTGACATGTTGTGTTAAAGCTCTAGTAATGCCTCAAACAATATTTTAGCTTTTGCTTTGACAAAAAAGCTCGATTTGACAGGAGGTGGAAAAGCCTGACGTAAGAGGAAAGCTCACTTGGGTCATTAACATTACGGGAAAAGTATAAAAAATTCGGTGGTTTCACCTTTTTTAGATAGTGCTAGAGTCATTTCATTGTGATCAGTCCGTTAATTCACTCAACAATTCTCGTTCACGAAGGATTTTTGCTGGAGGTGGAGGTACGGGTTTTAACCGCATGCTGTGAATGACTTAGTGCGTCTGACGCACAAAAGAGATCCAAAAAAAATATACAGTGTTCAGAGAAGTAGAAGCTTATAAAAACCACGATGAGCACATTAAAAAATTCTAAAATCCAGGAGGTGAAGCTTAATTTTGCGCATCGCACGCTTTTTCGAATTTTCCGCATCCGTTTTTCATAGTCGGGAATCAGGTTTGCCGTGAGACGTACGTAGAAAACTTAACCTAAATTTAACGAACGAACTGTTAATAATTTTTCGTATGTATGGTTTGCAATCGTTTTCAACAATTTGTTTGCCTTTTATTTCAATTAAGAAGATAACGTGCTCTAAAAGTATTAAATTTAATTGCTATGAGCGAGAAAAATAATTGATAGCAGCTTGTGATAACGTTTGTTTTTAAAAGTTAACTTTTCTTGCATCTGTCTCATAGGTTGCTGACTACGAAGAAGAAAGTGTTCGCTGGTGCGGGAAATTTGAAAATTCTGATGTGAGCTACGGACACTTTTATTCAAGGAGTAGATTTTAAACTTGGTTCATGAGCTCATCGTGATCATTATCTGTGTATCTCTTCTATGCGACAAACCCATTGGCATGTAACTATCTCCGACCTAGAAAAGATGGTTGAATATTCACCGCAAATATTGCATACCACCCAATTCACGCGTAAAACCTATAACAAGACAAGCGGGCCATTTTTAATTCACTTTTTGAAATTGAGGCTTTCAATGCTATATTGAACATTTCTCTTGAAACTCCAGTATAAATATTACGAGAGAATGCCTTGAATCTCCAACCGATCAAGTTTCTAGGCAATGCGCGACAATTCTCCGCTTGGACCACTCAAACTTTGATACAGATTTTTAAACGAGCCGTTTTCCCCACCTTCCGTGCTTTCTGGACTTGGCAACAACAAGCTGAGACAAGTTTGTTCGTTCGTCGAAACCGACAAATTTGGTCGAACCAGTTCGTGAATAGATATAAAAATCACTGACCGTTTTGATCCAATTTTCCGGTGGGGGCGATTTCTGCTCCTTGAAGGTCTCCATCTGAAAAGACCATAAAAAACAGCGTTGCCACCACTGATCTTAACGGGAAAACCGAGAAAAGCGCGTCGCGACCATGATGTGCCTCGCTACTTGCCGAGGGCTACAACAACCAGACTGGACTGTCACTCGCGGTCGCATCTTCGGCATATTTCAATCATAAGCCATGTTGCAAAATTGTGCACAGGAATAGCGTACCTAAGTATACATCTTAACATCTTAACACGCACATAGTTTTTTCTCTCGACCTTTTGAAAAACTGTCGGTGATAGTACCAGGAATCGTTATTTTATCATTTTTTCCATCAATAAAAAACAACTCAATCCGGGGAAAAGGCCACAAAACACGTAATACGCGTAAAAAGGGAGATGTTTCGAAGTATCGCAACTTAATTTTCAAAAGACGAAAAAAAGAGGGAGAAAAAATAATATCGATCAAAAACGGTAAAAACGAGTGAAAAAAGTTGTCTGCCACTGTTACTGCAATACCAAGACTGATTACGATGCTCGAATATTCAGGGAGTTCCAGAACTTATGTGATGCTGGAAGTTATTAAGCGTGATCGAAGAAATCAACGCAATTCATCGAGGTGTCCAGAGTTTCATGTAAAAAAAGACCAAATTTTTAGGGTTCATCGAGAGACTAGAGGCATGAATGGAGTACTAGAGGCGAAGCTCAGGGGGCTGCTCCCCCCCCCCCNCGAAATATACTTGGGCCTCTCGAGAAAGTGCGAAGATCTTGTTAAAATGACGTGTATAATTTCTTTCCCATCGTTGAAACTGTATTTCAATCGACTTTTCAGTCAAGACAGCCCATGACTGCTCTTGGAGCAACTCAAATCATCAAAATTTCCCCATTTTTTGAGCTGAGGAGGTCCTTTATAGCCCCCATTTAGTGGTGGAATCCCTCGCCTCTCCCCTCATCTCGATGGAGTGTCCCCGTTTCCTCGGACATCCTCTCTATGAGATACTTCTTTGTACCCCCAAATCGAAAAAGCTCCTTGCTCCGCCTGTGGTCAGAGGGTGTCTGCTCATCACCCATGTGCAAGAATGGTCGGCATATTCTTCTAAAGGGGCCGTCTATACATTACGTCCCCCTCTTGTTTCAATTTTTCGACCCCTCCCTCCCTTACCGTGTCCAACCTTCATCCATTGCTAGACCTCCTAAAAATTACGTCATCCTCAGCGAACCCTCCCTCTCGGGGGAAACATTGAAAATCAGTAGATATAGTCTGCAGGGTTAGAATAAGAATAATTTCTTTAATTGAGTATTAAATATGTGTTGTGCCCCCCCCCCTTTTTAAAGGAAAAACGCAGAAAATCTATAAAAATCAGTAAATATAGTCAAATTTCAAGCAGGCATTCTCAGCCTTTTTGCCCTCAGAAAAACTTACGTCATCGATCCTTGTCCTGACCTCCCCTCTTTCTCCGTCACTCACCGTCATCCACCGCTAGATCCCCCCTCCTCCTGTTTGGGTGACGTAAGTTATGGACGGCCCTTAAGCATCAACTAAGAGTTTACTAAAAGTTAACTGCTGAGCAGACCTGCTGTTTTTCTAAATAGTAAAGTTACCATTTTGCCTAAATCTGTTTCAGGGCACCAATATTTACATCCTATTCGCGTGAAATTGCAACTATGGGAAGGATCCTGACACCATTGAGCGTGCTTTCAACGGGACAAGTCGATGCAAAATAAGACATATCTTGGTCGGTCCGCCGCGACGGACGACTAATAATTGTCGGGCGTGATTCTCAATCAAAACACAACTTGACACTGATCAGAGGCTCGCTTTGTTGTCGAGTTGGTTGTTTTGCCGAAGATATCTGAGCGTGAATTTTGACACATGACAGAGTTAACTGCAACAACAGCTACATCTGTGAACTTGACGAGGACTCGCTGCACCGCCAAGATAAATTCAGCTGTATTGCATTCGCCAACCGTTGTTGCGTTATCACTCTGTCGTTATTTGGAAGATTTTAAATTTGCCGCGTTGCGAATAATCTCCATGGATTTGCAAAGAAAGGCAGACGCAGAAAAAGTACAATTGAGGGGTACCCAAAGACTATAAAACCTATAGATTTGTGGTTATGTATGCAGGGTCCGACTGGCTCAAATCTCAGGGCGTATAGATGCTGAAGCCCAGTCAAATTGACAGGATCCCTTGTCTGAAAAACGTGTCACGCGAGTTGAAAGGGACCGCGGTACATACGAGCCGTAGAAGTAGGTTAGTAAATATTTGTACAATTAAAAAAGAATCAAACTTCAAAATGAAAAAAGAAGAAAAAATTGAGGAAAACAGAGTCGAGACGTAATTGGGCCTAGTTTTTTTTAAATTTTTCTCTCGAATCGAAGCGACACCTCACCGGCAGCATAGAACGGAGCATTTCGAGTTCACGCCTGGCGCCATCGCGCCTTCACTTTTGCAGATGCAATACGGATATCCATAAAGTACGAATAGTTGTATCTCTGCGCCGTCATCAACGCGCCCCCTTTTACTTTGCTCTATTTTCATACTGTGCTTGTTTCAGTTCGTCTTATTTGTATTTGTAGCGGTGCTTCAAAGGCTGTATGAGTAACACAGTCATAAATAGGAGAGCCGTAATATAGTCGAGCCTCGTTTTTTAACTTTTCTCACGCCACCTCATTGGCAGCATGAAGCGGAGCTGCGAAACATCGCGAATTCACAGCTCGCGCCATCGCGCCTGCAATTTTGCACATGCAACACAGACATACGTTGAGCACGAATAGTTGTATCTTTGCGCCGCCTTTCCATTTGCTCTATTTCCATACTGTGTTCGTTTCGTTTGTTTCATTTGCAGTAGTGCTTCAAGAGCTGCGTGAGCAACACAGCCGAAAATAGGATGTGCCCTTATCAATTATCATGTTGAGAAGAAGAAAAAAATGTTAGAGGTCTCTCAAGCGATCATAAAGGCGCACGTCTAAAAATTGACTGTACTACCTCTTCTGAGAGAGTGACACATGGCGGATGAGGAAGTGGGGTGATAAAGCGTCTCTATGTTACCAAAAAGGTGAAAATTTCGAAGAACAGAATTTTTTACCGATCTTAGGAATTTTATGTACAGGTATTTTGACACTTGACAAAAGTTCAAGAGCCATTTTGATGTCCTCACTTAATGACGCTCATCATCTCCTTTTCGGAAACTACAAGCGACAAATACTTCCAATGCCTCAAAAATAATTTTACGACGGAGAGTGACCAATTTTTCGCGTAATAGAGAAAGCTAAAAGCGTAAAGCGTAATAGTGTAAGTTCGCGCTGTATTTAATAGAATGTCTGCTAGTGAGTGAAATAATTGTCATTCATTAAAGCTTGATTAAACCAGCATGTCCCAATTTTTCATACTCTACTCTTCAAAATATTGAGGTACGGATACAAAATCTGAATTCAGCAAATAAATAAAATAAAATAAAATAAAAACAAGTTGGATTTTGCAATCGCTAGCGATGGCAATATTCGTCATGGGAACGTTAGCTTCTGGGATATGAAAATGTTAAGGTACAGTTCGTTTGTAGTATCTTCTGAATTGAAGGGGCTATGTAATTTTGTGTTGACATCTCTTTTTTAACATTTTTAATTATTTTCTTTGCATACAAGAAAGCTGTTATGTACCAATTATTTATTTTCGTTGGATTATATATGGTTTTCGGAAGTTAACGCATTTAAGTTTCAGGTTCGCTTTTTCGGCGTAAAGTATACATAAGGTGTCCCAAAAGCACCGGGACTTGTTCTGTAACTTCGAAAGTAAGATAGATACAGACATGATCTTGATTTCATTTTAAAGATCAACTCAATACCTATCGATTAAAACCAAGATCAGCTCAATCGGATAAAAATTGACCGAGTTATGGCAATTTGAAATCAGCGAGGAAAGTTTACGCCTACGGTTTTTAAGGAAGATTCTTCATCGCCGTAAATCGAAAAGTCGGCCGATAAAGTGATGCTTATTGTGTTTTTTTATTTTCGAGGTGTCATTTATCAACATTTTGTACCATCAAACACAACAGTTGACAGTGCGTATTATTGCAAAGTACTAAAGGAGTTGAGAATGCACATTTCCCGGAAACGGTCGGACTTGAAAGCTTCGTGGATACTCCATCAAGACAATGCGCGGCCTCACACATCGAGCTTAACACGTGAATTTATGAGTAAAAATGGAGTTGAAACAATCCCTCATCCCCCTTATAGCCCTGACTTGGCTCCATGTGATTTTTGGATGTTTCCTACGCTTAAAAAGGAGCTTCGCGGACGAAGATTCGTATCGAAGACCGAAATCCAGAATGCAATTCAAAACTTCTTCAACTCCATCCCAGAGGAAGAATTCAGGAAAACAATGTTGGATAAGTGGCAAGAGCGCATGAAAAAGTGCATCCGGTTTGATGGACGGTACTTTGAAAAGCAAAAGGAAGTTATGGAAGATTCGGAGGAAAGTGGATACGAATATTAACTTTTTGAATCCTGGTAAGCGAAAAATCTTCCTAAAAACCGTAGGGGTAAACTTTCCTCACTAATTTCAAATTGTCATAACTCGGTCAATTTTTATTCGATTGAGCTGATCTTGGTTTTAATCGATAGGTATTGAGTTGATCTTTAAAATGAGACCAAAATCATGTCTGTATCTATCTTACTTTTGAAGTTACAGAACCAGTCCCGGTACTTTTGGGACACCCTACGTATGATATTTTTACTCTACACATATGCCCGAATACGCATCATAAGGGACCTATGTGCTTCCTAAGTTGCCAAGTATTAATTATTGTTAGATTATTGGTCTAAAACATTCAATACAACCAGTAAAAATTAGCTGTCCCCTACGAGATTCGAACCCCCGCTCGCACAAAAAGTGACACTCTCCCAGAGGCAGAAAGGTAACGCAGCCATTTGAGCTATTTCGCTGCTCAGATATGCATGGAGAAAAAGAGAACACTTAAGTGATCTCGGACGCTGAGCGGGGCTTCACAAAAGACGTCCTTGAGATTTCAACGGTTCGGCCACTGGCGTGATAAGACACAACGGATCAACCGCATTACTCTGTGAGACATTGTTTACCTATGCTGTCATGTGTCACGAGGTTCATATCAACAGGCATTTGCGA